TATGACCACCCATGTATGCTCATGAACCTTATACATAGTGTAAGATGCAAGGGGCGTTCTTGGGCACTGGAGGGCCGATAGCACGGATGAAGGCGGAAGCGGCTTACACTGTAAGCGGGGTTACGAGCGCAGCAGAGGGAAAGTGCGGGAGGTCCATTCCCCCCAGGAGGAATCAACTGGGCAGTTCTCGTGGAGCCCTCGTTCACCACGCCCCGCCGTCATCGTCGTGCAAACAGCAGCCTTGGGGAACCCGTTCATGGCGAGCAATGCTGGGTCTCATCACAGCACTCTCTCCTGATGACTGCTCTTCTCCTTCGTTTTCTTTTGGCCCTCTACTTCCTCAGTTACGCTGTAACCACAATGCCGCTGTCTGAGCCTTCGTCCATGCGAAAGCGCCCTTTCAAGTTCCTCCAGGCGAACCTCAACGGTGTTAGGAATGCCCAACGAGCTCTGCTAGAACATGGACTCAGCAAAGACAAGTGGGATCTCATCCTCATCCAGGAGGCAGCTCGAGGAACAGCATCCATCGGCGCAGAATCCTACGGCTACGTTCTGATCCGGAGCAGCAGACTGCGCGAGCAGCCAGGTAGAAACATCTCGACCTGCGTCTACGCTAGGAAGGACAGCGACCTCGGCATACCCAGCTACGTCCCCCTTGAGGATGACGAATGTACTTGCTCCGGCGAAGCTCGGGAGTTGCACATCGAGCACATCTGCACTGTCGTCTACGATCTGCCTGATGGCGACAGGCTTTATGCGACAAACATCTACAATCGTAAGAGCGACAAGTTGTCTGAAGATTGTCTGACAACACATCTGGAATACGACGGCCATCTTTTCCTTGCAGGAGACTTCAACATGCACGATCTCGACTGGGAGAGGGGTTTACGCAAACCCAACTCCAGGCCCGAGCCCCTCACTCAGCGATTCAAGGAACAAGTTCGAGTTCGCGGGTTGCGGCTACTTACTCAGACGGGCGGAGAGCCTACGTGGCGCAACGGCTACAGGTTCTCCATAATCGACCTGACGATGGCCTCACCCGAGCTGAGCTGCTCCCCGGCGAAACTCAGGCAGGACTTGAAGATGGCCGGAGTGGACCACGTCTCTGTCGAGACCACCGGTCAGGTTATGACTGACCCACGCCCCATCCGTACTTTGGATTGGAAGAATGCCGACATCGCCGGTATCGAGCAGGCAACCACCAACTTTATACAAAGCGTGCAGCCACTGCCTTTGGATACAGTTGAGCAGGTCAGACGCCGGTCACGGGACCTCATGGCAGCCTTCAAGTCCATCGTGGCTACTTTCGTACCCGTCGTACCCCGCTCGCCCTTTCTGCGCTTCAAGATCGACACGCCAGAGATAAATGAGCTCACCACTCGAGTCGAGGCCGCCCGTGTCGAAAGCGACGAAGCGCATCGCAAATCACGGAACATGCACGCGTCCTTGAATCACGACAACAACTTTCGCACCGCCGTCTTCGCGCCGTACCATGCCAGAGAGCGCGAATGGCTAAGGATGTCCAAAGATCTGGACAAGCTTCGAGACATTGAGTTCAACAGACAATGGCGCACTTCATACAGCGGTATCTGCAAGTGGTCGTGGTATCGCTATACCAAACGGAAGGGGAAGCCACGAGCACCGGTGAACGTACCACACTTTCGCGTGTTAGACCGTCATGGCAACTTCGTGGGACGCACGACTAGTGCTTACCAGAAAGTCTTGACTCTTCATCGTAAATGGCACGGTAAACTGCGGCGTGAAGACAGGAACGAGGAACCGACCGTTCGTATCCCGGAGACACCCGAGTCAAGCACTCCTTCGTCGCCTTCGCAGAAAGTCTCTGTGGATGACCTAACGATGATCGTCAATAAGCTGAAGCCAGGCACATCAGCTGGGTACGACGAAATTGGCCCTCGTTTCATCATCGAATTCTCCCCTCTGTTCATCGAGTATCTCGCGCGTCTCTGGAGTGCTTGTCTCCGGCTGGCTTACTTCCCCGACGTCTTCAAGATAGGCCGCACCATTCCGATTCCCAAGGTCCTCGGCTTTGGTGCGCTTTTCGACCTTCCGAATCACTTTCGACCCATTTGTCTCTTGTCGTCTATAGGGAAAACACTCGAATCGTATTTGGCCAACGTGTTGGCTGAATACGCCCAGCTTCACAACCTGCTCCCGGCTACGCAGTATGCAGCTAGAGGCCGTTCGATCAACCATGCGTTACTGTACCTCAACGGACTCATCGAGAGGGCAGCCCGCAAGGGTCTCGCCATATCTGTCATGTGTATGGACCAAGCGGGAGCGTTCAATGCCGTCCTCTTCCGCGAGCTCTTGCGTGTGTTCCGCTCCATGCAGATCCCGGAATGGATTATCGCCATGGTTTCGTCTTATCTCTGTGGTCGCTGGACGACCGTCCGCATACCTGGTTTCGAATCTGAACCAATGCGATGCGGAGGCGTACCCCAGGGAAGCCCACTTTCGCCTATCCTCTTCGCCTTCTTTACCTCTAGACTATTGGAAGTAGAAGAGGTACCAGGCGATGAGGGGCGCGTTTTCAAGTTCGCATTCTCTGACGACACTTACTTCATGGTCATTGGTACTTCCATGAAGGAGATCAAGCCGGAACTTGCTCGCCAGAACCAAGCTTGCCAACGATGGGCGAAGGAATCGGGTGCAAGCTTCAACCCTGCCAAGACTAAAGTCATACATTTCGCCTCCCCAGCTCAGAACGACGCTCCACCGATGTCGCACTACATTCCGGGTTTCGACGACAAACTGGAGTTCGATTGCACAACCACCGGCAAGGACGACTACATGACAATCCTTGGTGTACGCTTCGCTGTGAACTCACGTGGATTTGCCACGTGGGATTCTCAATGGGCTTGGGTAGTGGAACAGTATGCCAGCTTGGCGAAGGACTTCAGTCGGATTGTCAAGTCTACGTACGGATTGAGTGTCGTAGAGTCTTCACAGGTCTCCAAGGCTGGCGCTCGGGCTTCGATTATGACTGGTTCTGTCATTTGGATGCAGTATGCTGACAACCCTTGGTTTCTCCAAAAACCCTCTGATAGGACGACAGCTGACTCGGACGATACGAAGACATACGCGGACGCCAACCCTTCGATGCCATATTTCACACCCAACAAGGTACGAGCCCGTCGACAAGCACTATTCCAGAAGATGGGCAACAAGTTCCAGCGCATGGCGCTTGGCTCATTCACAAGAGCACCTCGTTGGTACCTTCGTGCCGAACTCGGAGAGGAGCCATGGGACCTTTTCGCCTTTCGATCGAACCTGACTTTACTCGCAAACATCATGAGCACACCGGAATGGGATACCATCGATTCGGCCAGGAACCGTGTCGAAGAATACGCGCAGAAGGTCTACCATACCGATGTTCAAGAGCTTCGCGGAGGTCGTGTCCGCGACTTTCTTTCACCGAGCCAGTTAATGGAACAGCGGGCGGCGGAGTGGAGGCAAGCCGCCATGCGTTACATTGAGGAAGAAGACGAGCAAGAAGGCGCTACCATCCCGGACGACGGCATTGAAGGCCCCCTGTCGCAAGACGGTGTCGCTGCCTTGGACGAGTTCCGCCGAACGATGGGTGACCTGCCAGATGCAGAAGACGAATCTGATCAACCCATCGATTCAACGGCTCAGCGACTGAAGCTCAGACTCAAAGTCACATCCAAGAAGTTCTCGCGCCGGGTCGTCAAGAGCCACTTCAACCATTGGCGCCAGAGGAAGTATGACGCTTTGGTGAAGAACGACCCTAAGAGAATCATCCCTCCGGCTCTACGGCAGAAGTGGAACGGCCAGGGCCTGAAGCGGTACCGTGGTCTCAAGAGGCCTTACGACTCCCTTCTCTTCGCCCTCCGCTCCGAGTACATCGGTCTTCTTCACCATCGACGCGAGCTCTGTGGATCCAAGATGGACGATTCGTACTGTCGGAGGTGTCGGCACATCAAGGGCAGGTATGAGACGATCACTCACCTCCTACACTATTGTCCTACGCTGCAGATGGAGCGTGAGGCACTGTACGACGAGGTCTTTGCTACAGTTCCTTCGATCAAGAGCAAAGCGGATATGAGGCGCGACATCATAGTGAAGGCGCCTGCACTCGTGGTCAAATTTGCTCTGGCACACTTTCCTATCGACCAGCTGGAGTGGACCAGGACGCACTTGATGGATCTGCTGAACCAGGATGAGAACGACGAGTGAGAAGACACGCGGTCGTTATTGCGGCGTTGATTATCATCGATGGCTTGTTTTCATGCTAATATCGATGGATTTGGAGAGGCTGTTGGAGTATGTGGTAGTCGATGGGCGTGTGACGATGATTGATGTGTGGAATGGTGGGCCTTGGGCTCGATGATTGCATCAGTTTGGTATACGCGTTGAGTTTGGATAGACCTGGTGTTCTTTCCGCTCGTATGTATATGACTTGAGGCGTAGTTCTCGTTGGCTGAGACCGAGAACGGCGCGCCTGTCATGGTGTTAGAGTACCATAGTCTTGAAATACTTCCTTAGCAGAATCAATCCTTTCCTTCCTTAGACTTTACATTCAATGTACTGGCACTAGACGACCTGGACGATCTGAACGATCAACTGAACGACCCATTGCTCATGATAGCTACCTAGCTATCGCTGCAACACCCCCCCTACGCATCCTCATCCTCATCCTCGTAAGTAGCTGTACCCTATTCTGCTTCTGTAATACCCTCTCGGAAGCGCAGCACAAATATGAAGAGCCTTAGTGCTACTGCCTTAGACTTATAGCAGCGGGTGCGGTCTCTCAACGCTGCTCGTCCGAGGCTGTATGCTCTAGGCTCAGTGATGGTCACATCGCTTCCTGTGCAAACCCCGCAATCAATCGTTTGGCAAGAAGACGTAACTAACAGCTCCGAAGCATGACGATCTTGTAACCTGCCAGGATGGCTGACATCCGCGCCTTGTAAGTCCAGCAACTCTGGAGCGAAGAGCGAGCATAGCTAACTTGATTATTGTAGTCGGTCCGCATCCGTGAACTGACTGTTCAGGATGTTCTGCTCTGCTTGAGTGGGCTGAACGCCAGGCAGTCGAAGTCGCTGGACGAGATTTGATACCGCTGCCCTCTCGGCGATCAAGAAGTCCTTGGCTGCCTGGTTCACGCCTATGAGTATGGCTGATGCCAGTCCAATGCGGTGCTTGACTGTGCTAACCTTGAGTAGACGTCAGCTACATTCACATCCACATCGGCATCCTCAGCGCATGCATCTACATACCTTGATGCTCGTTGAGGACGAGACCATACTCCTGTACGAGCCCGACACAATCTGCTTAGCAGAATCAGCCAGCGGTATCAGCGCTAACACTACGCAGGGGCATTGCGCAACCATTTGGCGCGCAGCCAAGCCCTGGGAGGAGCACCGCTTCCGAAGACGACGACCTGTCGGTGATAGGCAGCTTGTAATCTTGCTGCCTTCTCCATCGCGACGGCGGACTCCAAGGAAGCTGGGAGTCGTAAAGAGGTGAGTTTGGCGACAATAAGAGGTGGACCTTTCTAACACGCGCAGATGCCGGGCGGCGGCGATTTGCTGTTGAAGGCGAGCCAGGTGTTTGCGTAGAAGACGGCGATCATATTGGTGGCCATGGGTAAGCGCTGCGGGCTGAAGGATTTTGATGATGTTGCTGACGAACAGTTGTGCGTGTGTTGTGTCTTCAAGAAGCAACACCCACCGCAGTCGGTATGCGCCTTCGTTCCACCATGACGGCATGTCGACTAACAGCACGCAGCCTTTTATATTTCCTCCTCTTTGACTCACATCTGTGTGCGGCGATTCCATCCCATGGTTGCCATCCACTTCACCCCATGGTACTGCGATGACGCAGAGCGAGTCAGTGCCAACAAGGAGCCTGGTGATGAAGAACGAAGCTGACACGCAGCTCCCAGAACGAGCCACTCACGACTTCCGCAACATCGACGACCTTGACGAAAAGATACTCTCACGAATGAGAGAAATCGCAAGTATAATACACTGTCAACCCTCCACCCACCAATGGTGGGTGGGCTCGCGCTAACCAACGTAGGTCGAGCCGGGCGGTCCTCCGAGTTGCAGCCTGTGCGCGGCGAGGGCTACGAACCTGTTCCGCTCTTTCGAGAGTGTGAGCAGAGCCAATTGTAACAACACGCGAAGCCCGTGAGCTACCGAGCGATCGGCTCTCCGCATGAGCCGCATCGCATGAGCCGCATCGCATGCGCAATACCGACGTCGACGTCGCGATCGGGAGGAGGAGAGCGTTGAGGACACGGCATCGCTGCCTGGCGCAGGCCGCTTCGGCGCGGACGAGGGGCGAAGGACGCAGGCGAAGAGCAGTGACATAGAGTCAAGAGTGTGGTCTATGGCCTGTGGGAGGGAGGCAACAGAGCCGAGGATGTGAGATGGTCGAATGCGGGACGTCGCTGCGTGTTCGGCAGTCGTCTCAGCGCGGGCATGAGGCGGTCGGTGAAGGTGAACAGTGAGAGCGAGGGCGCGGTAGCCTACGCCACCAGGCGTTGGGTGTCATTGCGCGAGGCATGAGGCAGTGGGTGGAGGTGGAGTGGTGGTCGTGGCAAGATGGGCACATCCCGCGCCAGACGCGTCGCCGGGTGTTGGATAGTTGGTGGAGACGAAGAGCTGCGGATGCGAGACGGATCGACGCCGGGTCTTGCCAGACGTTCAGACGTCTTTCGGACCATGCGACAGGCGCTGCGCGGGTGTGGGGTGGATGTTGGGTTTGCTGGGGAGATGGTGGGAGACGTGGAGTCGGTTTCGCTGAGCGCGACATGTTGGACGCGTACTCCGGGCCGAGGGCGGAGCGGGGCGGAGCTAGCGCAGTGGCACTTCATCAATCGCAGTCGGCGCTCCATCTGGCAATTACCACTACCATGCTGTGAACAACGTGAACTGATATGTGTGTGACGCCGTAGCCTGAAGGAGAATGTGCCTACATGGCTCGTCAATGAGAGCAGCCCGAACAGTGACGTATTGGCTGAGTCACGCCAGGCAGCACGGACCAGCGTAAGCCAATCAACGATCGCTTGTTTGTTGGGAACCAGAGGCCTTCAAGGCGACGACCCACGGTCTGTGTTCCCATCTACGAGTACAGTCATACCCTGCGGCCTCCGCCATGCAGGACGATATAAAGTCTCCTTGCCCCATCTCTACATTGGGGCAATCATGGCGACCAGAAAGTTCGCCCACTGGAACAGTTTCCCGTTTATGACCGCCCCGAGAACGAAATACTACTCTGGTCAAACACAATCACCATTCTTCCGACTGTCCCGCGAGATTCGGGATATCATATATGGATACTACCTTCTAGGAGAACATGACCATGGCTACCATTACGACAGTGAGACCGAGAAAATGCTCGAGCAACCACCATCATCAGAGCCTAAGCGCATTGTTCGCCTTGGTCTCATGATTTCGTGCCGCATCGCTGCTGAAGAGCTCAAGAACTGCGCTTTCCGTAAGGTACAGTTCAGCCCCCATCTTTCACAAGATGATGGGCAGGCTTTTCTAGGGCTTGCTTCTCGAGCTGGGCGGTTTCAGTGCTGTAAGTGATGTTATGAGCCTGAAGTGTTAATTTTGCACTAACACGAACTATTATAGTACTGAGATATGTGGACCGCCAAAAGCGACGGATGCTCATCAAAGTTGCCGAACTGCTGCAGGATGAAGACTGGCTTGATCTGCATGAGCGATTTTCATCGGTTCAAGGATGGTTCAAGCGATGTTTGATGCACTCAGGTAAGCTGTAGATGTGCGAAGAGCATGCGGAAGGTACGCTAATCTTGCATGCTCGCCCCGACAGTCGCGGTTCGGGCAGATCAATTCAACAGGACGGAGGATAGTCGCGAACGCCTCGCTTCACTATCGTTCAGCGACGCACTTCAACACATTCTCATCCTAGCGAAGAATCGTAATCCGCCCAGGTTCGCAAAACTTGCTTGCACTGTATTTGGCATAGGCAGGTGCCCACTCCTCATCGAACTTATCATGTCGTGTAACAACAATCTCTTTATCGAGGGCGCCCTGTACGACATATTCTCTTGGCATCCCAACTCGTGGAGTCTACCGAACGACGACGAGCTTTCCAAACTTGAGGCGCTCATCTGCATGCCAGGGAATACAGATACCCGGTTACCAATAACCGATGATGGAACATTCTACTTTTCGGATGTAGCGGATCATCTTAAGCGTTCAAATCTTTACCGACTTTGGTGTTTCTCCGCAGCCTCCATCGCGATCGACTTCTGTAAGTAACTGTTTGGACTCTCAACGCTCACACAGATCCTGCCCTTGCTCAGCATCCCGAATCGTTTCACTAACACGCTCAGTGCAAAAGCTCCCGCGACAGAAGAGAGATAATATGCATACGATCATACTCAACGAAACTAAGATGGCTGCCTCACGTCCTGAGCATCATGCGCGTGGACTTATACCCTTCTGCCGTGAGAATCCCAAGCTTCAGATAGAAAGACGTCTCGCGATATCTGCCTCGCGATACCCCTTCTCGGATCGGGGCGACGTCTGGGACATGTCAGGGTGCTTTCAGGAGACGATGCTCTGGATAGAAGCAGCTTTGGAGTTGTCAACGCTTGGGATGCCTGCTCAATCCTTTACTCTAGTGATCTATGGCGGGTCAGACTTCTGGCAAGTCTTCAAACATGCCGCAGCTTTGCAAGAAGCGACCTATGAGCTACACCAACGAAAAGGACGTCCGATGCCCCCAAGACCCCATTCTCCACAGTATAACTCCATTCCGACCTTCCCAGAAAACTTCTCCAAGATAATACGGGAAATTACGGAAGGTACATCCTTTGTCAGGTTGGAAGGCGGGGATGTGGGCGACGTCTGGGATTCTGACGTCTTCTTTCATGAGCGCATGAATTGGACCGATGAGCAGTGGTGGATGGATGGTCATACCAACGTCTTATATCCCAGTATGTCCTTGAACATACTTCCAAAGATACCTAGCACTCGGCGTTGAGACAGGCAATGGAAAACGGTAACGAAACGTTAAGCCCGGAGCCATGAGAACACTTTCACGAATCTTAGAGCCAGCCCGATAATAAATCTAAACCCCTCTGATAACCAATTCCCTCAAATGTTTGTGAAAGCATGCAATGTCGTCAGAAACCACGAGGCTTTGTAGCATAGCTGTACTTCCGTAGCGAATCATCCTTTACCTGCCTAATACACGTCACACACGCTATAAACGTTTCATCCACGATAAAATGTTCATACGTTCTATCGTCTAGCGTACATCCTATGTTCCACATCTTCCTTGGTGTCGTCCTTCAAGGTGCGTTCGCCACTCTATACCTACCCACTGTGATACACCAGCCTTCCCAACTCACCTCGAGGTGCAATCCATTCGCCTTCATCCAGTACGAAGTTTCAGATATTATTTACATCATTTATACTACTAGAATCGTCCTTACCAACTTGACTACTCGCCAACTACATTAGAGATGAGTTAGACTAACAGCACAAAGCAGCCTATGCGTCCGTCGGGATCAGCACCCGCACGTTGTACGGAGCGAGCATGTAGTTCATCCTCCTCCAGTAGGTGCACTCTTTTCTGTAAACAGGTCGAAGCTAAGTTCTACTCAACCGTGTTGGGTAGGCGCCTTGCTGCTAACGTGCGCAGGGCGGTCCTCAAGTTGCAGCCTGTCCGTCGGCGAGGGCTACGAACCTGTTCCACTCTTTTGAGAGCATGAGCAGAGCCAATGCAACACACGATTATTCCCATAACAAACAGTCGTATGCGAAAGTCGCAGCGCTTGCGCAATGCTCTCATCGGCGCGGCGGTCGACGCACGCGGGCTACCGGAGCCTTGAGATCGATCGATGCGGGGTGCCAACGGGCACTGGGTGTCATCTGGGCGCCGGCGCGGGACGGTTGGTGAGGGTGAAAGTGAAGGTCTATCGCGAGGAGACCTCGGGATCGTGAGGTAAGTCAGCTGATGTTGAGCGGCGTCTGGGCTCGGGTGTGGAGCAGTCGGTGGTGGAGAGTCAAGGATGTGGTGGGGGATGGCGGAAGAATCAGGCTGACAGTGAGAGATCTTTCAGTCCGGACGGCGGGTGCTAGCCAAGCGGGCGACGATGGTGAGCGACGGTGGTGAGCGACGGTGGTGGGCGACGATGAGGTGGTGTCGCGCGTGAGAGCGCGCGTCATCGGAGATAAGGGTGGCGGAGTTAGCGTAGCCGCACTGCGGCAATAAAGAAAGAGCTCCCTCTGCCAAACGCTATGCTTTGTTGCACGTCGTGATATGGTTTGCATAAGATGAACGCATAAGACTGTAAAGATCATGCAGTGGATGGTTCGTTGAGTAGCGCTGGTGAGTCACCGTCAGAGTCACCGTCAGAGTCACCGCGAGGAGTACGGGCGGCTCTCGCTTAGCCAATCCGCGGTAGTCTGTTGCTTGCGCGAACCATGGTCCTTCATCGCAGTCACGCACCGCCTTCTTTTAAAAGGAGATTGCTCTACAGTCACCATATATATACACCCGATATCTCTCTCCTGTCTTTCATATTGTTTCCCCTTATGGCGTCTAAGAAATTCGCCCACTGGAACGGGTTTCCGTTTATGACTGCGCCACGGACAAACTATTACTCCGCACAACTACAATCACCCCTCTTTCGCCTGCCTCGAGAAGTTCGAGATGCTATCTACGCTTACTATTCTCTCGGCCGAGACGGCTATCATTACGATAGCGAGACTGGCAAGATGCTCTACACGGTCGAGCCAAGACAAGCGGTCCATCTGGGTCTGATGATCACTTGCCGAATTGCACACGAAGAGCTTAAGCACATTGTCTTCCGAAAACTCCAATTCAAGACACATCATTCATATGATGAAGACCTTTCATATATGGGCGTACGCTCACGTGCAGGTCGTTTCAAGTGTAGTAAGTTGCCCACTAGCATCTAACCGTGCCCTATCGTCACTAACGCTATATACCTGTAGTGTTGAGACTCGTTGAACGACAGAAGCGACGAATGTTAATCAAGGTGTTTGAGCTGCTACAGCCTGACGACTTACACGAACTGTATACTCGCTTCCCTACGGTCAAGAGATGGTTCGATATACCGTTGCGGCAATCAGTGGTTGAACAAGTCGACAAACTGGAAGCGACCGAGGGCTTCTCTGGGGACGAGGAGGATCATGAACTCTCTGAAAGCGCATTCGCACACGCACTGCAGTATGCTTTGGTATGCGCAAAGGATCGCAATCGCGCAGACTTTGTTAGACTTACCCGTGGTCTATTTGGCGTGGGACAATGCCCTATCGACTGGGCAGCAAACTATACACAAAGCAACATCTTCGTAGAAGGTGCGCTGTATGATGTGTATTCCTGGAACCCCGAGCCTTGGTCCCTTCCAGACGATGCTGAATTGGCTAAGCTGGAGGCTCTTCTCTGCGTCCCGGGCGACACGGACACTCAGCTTCCAACTAACGACGAAGGCACCTTCTACTTTCCGGATCTGAATACGCACATAAAAGCAGCTAAGGAGCGATGGTTCTTTTCTGCCGCATCTATTGCGATAGATTTCTGTGAGTCGCAAATGACGCGGCTTGAACGCATACTGCGAACACCCGCTAACTTTTACAGTGAGACAAATGTCACCAGAGAGAAGGCACAACATGCGCACGATAGTGCTCAACGAAGACTTCAAAGCAGTGTCTCGATCTGAATGCCATGCTGAGGGCTTGATACCATTCTGTCGCGAGAATCCAGAACTCCGCGTAGAACGGCGCATCAGCCTGGTTGCCAATGTCTTTCCAGAAGAATTCCAATGCCCCGTTGCCCGCGAGCAAATGTTTCAGTGGCTATTCGTTGAGGATTGCTTCAGACTACTTATACCTTGGATTGAGGAAGCCTTGAGTCTGCCTTCCCGCGGGATGCCCCCTCGCTCTTTTACCCTGGTCATTGACGGATCGACACAAGAAACATCGGAGATGTGGAGACTATTGCTATATGCTGCAGCCACACAGGAGGCGCGTCTTGAGCAGTGCAGGCTAAACGGAACCGACCTTCATCCCCGGCCTCTCCTCCGGTATTACGAGGACTTCTGGTCTCTTCCTAGCAATTTCGCGGAAACGATTCGAGACATCGTGGCAGGCACATCAGTCGTCAAATACGAAGGAGAGGTGCATGAGCCGTGGGATCAGGATGTGTTCTCTATCGAACGCAGGGACTGGACTGAAGAGCAATGGTATAACGACTGGGAAATTAATGTCCTCCGCCAGCGGATACCGTCAAAGTTCTACGTGGATGGAGCGCTTCGATACCACATCACACCGTCTCCTATCAGAACAACGCGACAAATCGTTAGACATGGAGCGATTCGCTCAAATGAAACTTAGTCGAGTATGTGAGTGGTACGTTAGCTCCATGACAACTCATGTCTGGCGGCTGTATGTTACGCTCTCCGTATGCCTCGAAAGATATCTGCTACATCCGTCCTGCCATCTAATGCAATTTCACCCATGTATTCATCGATACTTTGATACATAGTCAGATGCGTGTCATATAGAAAGCCAATTAGGAGAAGATCATCTTACCATACCACTTCCGCATCCACTCGCCATTATAACCCTTGGTCCCACTCCCCTCGGCCCTCCCGTCTGCAACCCCCAAGGAAGCTTCAATATAGTCCCGCATAATACATGGATGTTCATTTGAGTCGACAACTATTGAAGTTTTGGCCAGGCGAACACCATCCGTTCTTCCAGGCTTACTTCCGCCCCTACCTGCCATCATACCCCTTAACCCCCTTGACCCCACTCCCCTCCACCTTCCCACTCGCAACCCCCAAACTCCGCTCAAACGCCCCCGTAATCCCCATCTGATCCGTCAACACACTTACCATATCAAACCCCCTCTCCACATACCCCCTCGCATCCTCTCCCGAGTTACAATACATAGCCACCTTCTTCCCCTCCGCATGCGCCGCCTCCTTGATCGTCTCAATCGCCTCCTCCAACTCCTTATCCATCTGTGGAGTCAAAATAGGATGACCAATGTTGTTGCCGAGATCAAAGGGCCCGATCAGCAAACAGTCGACACCGGGCAAGGCGGCAATTTCACGGCAGCAGGCCAGCGCCGACGCGGTTTCTATCTGTACAATGGTAAGGAGCGAAGTGTTTGCGTGGCGCAAGTAGTACGTTAGTGGTTCGTTTGAGAAGCACTGTGTTGGTAGCGGTGAGCCGAAGCCGCGCGTTCCTTCTGGCGGGAACTTAGCGGAGGAAACGAGTTTTTTGGCGTCGTCGACGGTGTAGATGAGCGGGACTATGACGCCGTGGGCGCCGCTGTCGAGGGCGCCTGGGGTGGTGTTAGATTCCGCTTGGAGACTTTGGAATGGAGGAGAAGGTGGAAAAGGGTAACTTACGTTTTACCATCCACGGTTCGTTGGCGGCGATGCGAACGAGGGGGCTTACGCCCGCGTGGGCGATGGCGGTTACGGCTTCGTGCATTTGGCTGTCGTTGATGTTGCCGTGCTCGGTGTCGACGCATATCCAATCAACGCCTGAACGGGCAATTGCCCGCGCGTGGTTCGTGCCTGGAAGCATCTGTCACAGCATCAGCCTTGACATCGAGTCGACTTCGCGTTGTGTGTTGTTTACCTGCCATCCTCCGAAAGTCGGGCCTCCTTTCTGGAACGCCTTGTATACCCGGCTTGCTTCTTGCAGGGTGTTCATGTTGCGGGGATAAGATGCGAATGGCTTGTTTCCTGGGAAGAAGGGAACACGACTTGTGAAGACTGCGTGGGGTTTTGCTTGGTGGATGTTTAATGTTGTGGCTCTTCGTAGGGCGTGTGGTATCGTCATGGCTTTTGTAGGTACGGGAGGGGTACTGCCGCGTGGAGAGGTTTACCCCACACTGGGACGCGCTAGGTGATGCGGGTTGATGGGGAACGGCAAGACACCTTTCCTGCTTTTACACGTCACGATCTTGAGAAGATGTCTTTTAAAGAGATGCCGACGATGCATTGCAGCATAAAAAGTGGCTTTTGAGCGTGTTGGCGTGAACATCCTTCATGAAGAGATGAGTCAAGGGCGTTTGAGTTGCGGCGGATACGACGCCCTGCCGGATTTTGTGGAGCCATCCATCTCGTGTCATCAACATCGACGCGGTATGGCTATCGCATCACTTATCCTCATCGCACTCCGCGATGGCATTGCCGGAGCTTACCAACAGACACCAGAAAACGTCGCGTAAAGTGTGACGAAAAACAACCTTATTATCTCAAGCTTCCTCATACCTAAACTCAAAGAAGACCCTGCTTACCCGAATCGATGTAGAAGCACCAGCCGCAAATGCAGTTCTGGTACAGTCAATAGACTAACGATTAGTCTTTCTTTCAGCTGGAAAACATCGCGTTGCGATGGGCTTGCTTCACAGGAGTTCTAGTCAAGTCTGAGTCGGATCAGAATTTTGATTACATATACAATTCTGTACAACCTTCGCACTCAACCAACGCCCAGAGTTTTGGCAACAGGACTGAACCACACTACGGAGGCTAGACATCGTGTGTGAGAACAAAAGGCTTCCCCCCTGCAACTTTGAATGTCGCGTTTCTCGCCACAACCTCCCCATTTACCTTAAAAGCACCTCCAACATATCCTTTCTGCGACGACAGAGGTAGGACAACCGTGCCCGAAGTACAATTGGGGCTCATCACTTCCAACCTAGTTATAACACCCCTTGTAGCAGTCCAAGCGACGGAGATCTCACCGCCCGGCACGGGGACTCTGCCCCTAGCCCACGTCAAGTCAAGCGTAACAGGAGCGACTCGCCATTCGGCGTACCCTGGAGCTACAGGCTTCACCCCCAAGACATGATCGCTCAGCTCCCCAGTGGGACCTGCAGCCCAACCGTGGCAGAGGCTAGTTCCCCTCCCCAGTGCAGGCGCACCAGCTGCGTCCAAGGTCTCCCAGAAGCATCCGGTGTAGTTAGCTCCCTGCGGGTTGGCCATTGGCGCCCATAGGCTTTTGAGCAGATCCATGGTCGTCTCGCTGTCGTTGGCCTCGAATGCGGCACGAAGGTGATAGGCGCTTGCATAGGGGCTGATGAACTCTGAGAACCCTGCTGCGATAGTTCCGTTCGAGAAAGCGAGAGGGCCTTTTGGTGTTGAAAGCTGACGGAGGGTGCTCAGAACGCGGGATGACGTGTGGTTGAACCTGGTCACGCCAGCGAGAATGGCCAGGGCATTCGAGTCCTGTGCGAAGCTGTTGTTGATGGACTGGGAGAGGTAGTAGGCGTTGAGTTCATCCGACCAAAGGTTCTGGTCGATCGCGATGCGCAGAGCATCGAGGCGGGTAGTGTATGGCTCGGTGTCGATGCCACCGTCTGCAAGGAGTCTGATGCACTCCTGGAGTGCGTATGCGTAGACCATGTTGAACTTGGTAACAACACCCGCCTGTGACGGATCGTAGTAATTCCAGTCGCCGCCCAAGGCAGGGTTGGTGATGTTCAACAACCCGCTTTCGGGCAGAAGTTGAGAGTGTGCCCAGTCCAACATGCGTACGGCTTTGGGTGCCCATTTCTTTGGCATATCGACATCGCCGGTGCGCATGTAGAAGTTTGCAGCTGCGGTGAGGAGGTTGAAAGAGTAGCCAATCAGACCAGTGACATTGGCATCGACCGGGGTGGAACGTGGCTCTTGTTGGATCTTTGCTGTGGGTGCGAAGAATCCTGGGGTCAGTTGGAAGGAACCGAGAAGATCGAGCGTGCCTTTGATGTAACTGATGCCATTGGTACTCGACAGCGAGGACACGAGCGCAATGTCCAGATCGCCTGCATACGCAATACGGTCGCGTTTCGAGCCGTCGACAGTTGTGTCGTGCGGGTTTGTGCCCATGAGAAAGTCTGGCAGGAAAGCCTCATCTGTCAAAGATGCGGAATAGATCGATTGGCCCGTCAGAGTCGTAGCAGTCAAGTTGCGGAAAACGGCAGAGTGGCCGAATGACGCGCCCAATCCAAAAGATCCGAAAAATGCAGAAGTCTGCGAAAATTGTAGAACGGGAACCTTGTTGAAAGATACCACGATGCTAGTCGTATCCACAGTGGCTTCCACTTTGTGCCAGCTACCAAGGGTTATGTTCGCTGGCAGTTCTACGAATGCAAGTGGAGGAGAGTCCTCTGTAGATCCGAAGTGTGCTGAGATCGATCCGTTGGCAATGTTGCAGAAGATGTAGATTCCGGAGTTGAGAGTGTCGGCCAGTACAGAGAATCCAAATCCTTTGGTAATAGGCTTGACCTCGAATGCAAGCTGATAACTCATCAACCCAGCAGCGGCACCGCCTGACAGAACTTGAGGTGCCTGGCTCTCTACCAGAGAACCTTCGGAGGAGACCTGCCAGAACGCCGGAATGGAGTGCGCAGGAATGTCATTCAATTGAACCGTCCGCGCTCCAACCTTCCAAATCCGATTGAGATCCTCGTCCGAGGTCTCAAAGTAGCCCGGTAGTTGATCAAGGGGTATGTTCGCAATCGTAGGCCTCACACCCACGTTCTTCAAGACCAGTTCGCCTGTTGTCGAGAGATTGAGCTTCTGGTATCTGAAGCCACCCTGTATGAGTCGATTGGTATGTATCATAGGCCCAGTGACATTGTACTGATTGACTCTGTAGGTGTCCATAGCTGCGGCCAAAGCGATTGGACCGTCGCTCTGCAACATGAATCAGTATGCGTTTCAAGCACTTGCGGCGTAAGACTTACGGTGTAGAAACTGTCCAGTACCGCTCTAGTCTCGCTATACGTGATCTCTAGACCAGACGTGTCGCCGGTAGCGGAAAGGACTTCGAAAGTGGGACGGCCTTCGACGTTAGCCCCGTAGTCAAGGACAACGACGCCCGGAGTCGTAGTAGTCCCTTTGAGGGTAGTGGTGCCATTTGAACCGAATATCGCCGGCAGGCTGTCGTTTGCTCGGTGCACAAGATGCAGTGACTGGGATCTTGGTGTTGTTGCCGCTTCTGCGACTGTCAGGCAAGCCAGCAGGGCCAGTTGAGAGAAACCCATGATATGGTGGAAGTCCTCGATAAGGACTGAACGAATGTAGTAAGGAAACGAATGAAGTGAATGTAGACTAATGCGACGAAAAGTAGAGCGGTTATCACATACCTAAGTATACGTTAGAGATCGTCAGTCTTTTTCATCCTGTCCGAAATACGACTACCCACCAAGAAGCTTGGTGATGCAATCTCCGATATTACTCTGGTAAAAGCTCCAGCTCGCCGTTCTCACCGCCGTGCTGCGCCCGCGACGTTCCCAGCCATCATCCAAAACCGTCAGAACCGTCGGATCTTTCCGTCCCGCTCGTATGTCGTACCAAGTGGGTCAAACCACCGTTACCGAACATCCCATCCCCAATGTACGTACGCAGCCAAGGTTGTCCCCGCGAGAACACCCATCGGGCTTGAGCGTGGAAGACAGAGAAGAGAACAGAGAAGAAGATCTACTCGGCATGACAGCGAAGTGGGGCGCGTTCAGGTACATTTCACCTAACAAGCCGACGTTGGCACGAATCGCATCTCGGCAGCCGTTGGCCGCCCCGCAATGAGCGCTCGAGCCTGGTCTCACAGCCAATCGCTAAACGGCCTATTGTACGAAATACGCCCGCACGCCCCCAGATACAAGGAACCGACTACAACGTGCATCCTTATGCATCGAAGCCAGGCCCCGGTATGAACCTAGGAGTGGGGAAGTGCGCGTTCACGGTTGATGTGATGGAGGCAAAGGGTGACCGGGCTCATTCGGCGATCGGACTGCATCGCGATGAGTGACCAGATGCTCGTTCGTGGTGCGTATCTCGTAACGAGTCCATCATCTACCACGCTACCCGCCTTATAACCGCCATGACCTTCGCAATACCCTCGCGCCCACAGGCCTACCGTGTGAACGCCGCAGCGAACTTCACGTTCGACACGTCTCTAGTCCCCGCTTGATACTTCACAGCCCTCCGCTGCCGCCACTCTGCCACCCACCGCGAAGCCATCGCATTACTCTCTTGCAACCTGCCCCGCGAAGGACTCTGGGATCCAGAGCAGTATCATGTCTTGGCTGAGCGCATTGTGCAGGTTGTAAAGACGGAGGTTGAAGGGGAGGGGTGGTCGGTGGAGCGAGCGAGGCTTTGGAGTAGAACTGTGACGTGAGGAGAGGGGGTTTAGATCTGAGTTTATGTTTGCGAGAGATGTTGGGAGGGGAATTGGGAAAATGGGAAGTAGCGAGGAGAAAAAAGGGTTGACAGTGAGGGAGCTATATGTCGATGTGCCTGCGCAACGTGACACGAACAACTAACAAAACGCTTCATGCCCGTCCACACAGACACGATCAGACCCGCCACGCCATCCTCACCTCCCCCATACCCTACAACTACGCTCGTTCGCACTCGCTTCCAGACTACTGTCAGTCCCATTCGCCGCCAAGAAATGTTCTACAATTACGTGATATCCACTCCTTTCCCTTTCCAAACAAAAAAAGCAAAAACACATACGATTCCCATCTTTACCAGCAACGCCGATGGACGCCTGAACGTGTAAAACCGGTCGCTCAAGCCACCTCTTAGTCGCCATAGTGATGCTTTTAGTACAAAAGATGAAGTGAATCGACAAATGAGAGAGAGAGAAGAGAGGACGGCTACATATCCGTGATCATAGCCTGGTCGTCTTGACGCTGGCCCTCGGCTACGATACCGAGGAGGCGGGCGTAGGGTACTGTTATACGCTGGAGGTCGCGGTGTTTGCCTGCGTGGGAGGTTAGCATACTGGATTTGCGGCATAGTAGGGAAGACGAGAAACTTACCTAGAATCAACACAGCTTCCTTGAGCAACTCCTCCCTCTTCCAGCCACAAATCTCCTCGGGTTCTTTCATCGCTTCGTCTTGCTCGTCGGTACCTTCTTCCTCTTCCGACACGAGACTACCCATAAGACTGCGCAGGAGCTCTTCGATCTTGCCTTTGAGACCTTCGGCGCCGAGACGCTTGACGTACATGGTGAGGTAGATTTTGAATTCTTCCCTCGCACCCAATGTGCGTGCAGCAGCGACACGGTTCTCAAGATGAGCAACACTGGCCGAGCTCTCAAAGGTCTCGTAGCCTTCTGCAGATACGAGGATCTTGATGAGGCGCTGGAGGTGGAAGGCGCGGCCTTGGAGAAGGGATTGGTTTGTTGTGTTGCGCTCGAGCGCGGGGATGATGCCTGCTGAGATGTTTTCCATGGAGACTTGGTCGTCTTTTTCTTTCGGCGCGGCGTTCTTGTCTTTCGAAGAGCGGATGTTGCCGACGGAGGAATCGGTGGAGTTCCAATACTGACTTGTAACGCCCCACCAGGGCTCGGATATGCGTTGCCAGATGTACATGTCGGGGTTGTAGGCGTAGCCCTCGCCGTTGGACATGGCTACTGTTATCCGACCTGCTGAGTTCAGACGTGCGAAGACGATGCCGGGGGAGCGGGTGAGATGGGGTCCTTGGGCGTAGGCTGCGACATCGAGGATGGGTGCTAGGGAGATGGGTGGGTGGGGTGCAGACATGGTCTTGAGATTCCAGACGTAGCACATGCCGACTGCTGTTATGCACATTAGCCACCAGCCGCGGCAGTCCATGATTACTGGTTGAGCTTCGAGAACCATGGCGTTGAGCGTCCGTCGGCCGGCTGGCGTCCATGCGTATACTGATCCGTCCTCACATGCTGCTGCGAATAAATTTGTGTTGCCGGTCACTAAGAGCACAGCCTTTGGTAAGAAGTCTTGCCATAGTGACTGTCCTTTGCTGGTGCATGTCAACCGCGTAGGGTCGTGGTCTTGTGGCCGTCCCGTCCGCGAAGGCCCGCTGGCATTGCGCGCTTCTAGAACGACCGTGTCTGGTATTTCCGCTTTGCCTGTGTTGGCGTCGACACCACTCTGCGGTGGCTCGCTGCCGTCCATAGTTCGCACGATGACGCTTCTCACTTTCGGCACGGCTAACCGCACTTGAGCGAGGGCCATGGAAGGGTTGACGATGGCCGGTCTTAGGACTTTTGGAGGCTCTGTCATTTCGTTGTTCTTAGCAGCTGCAGCAGCGGGAGGAACAAGACCATTTTCACTGTTTATCACGATTGCTGCGCCTCCAGGCTTCACCGAACCTGCCAGTCTTTTCTCCACTTGCCGGTCCTCATCGCCTTCGATCTCGGCGAATTTCCGCTTGTTCCCGATCAGCATGGAAGCAAGTCCGCCTCTCGGGAAACCGTCGTACGGCTTTGAAAGGTCTAAAATGTTGTGGGGATTGTCACTCCTGCCGCCTGACGTTGTTGTCGCAGAAAGGAGCTGTGTTTGAGGTAACGAAGACTCGCCAACGCCAGACGAAGATGACATGAGCATAGGTGCTATGCGCTTCTTGCCATCCTTGGTGACAGTCACTCTTTGCTTGAGCTTCTCGACTCTCACGTCTGGGGGTGGCTCAGCCGGGGCCTGTGGTGGTGCTGCGGCGCCCGATCCGTTGGTGAGGGTTGTCGAGGGAGTGACGCCGTTGGTGCCGTTCGTGATAGTCGGTGGCTGAACGGCACCTCCATCGCCCATCAGTGCACCCATCCTTCCTTGAACACCCTTCAGCTCCCCACTCTTACTGCTCTCTTCCAGAAGTAGCGCGTCTGTGCCCTCAATGATACCAACTCTTCTTCCGGCACCGAACTTAGCGAGTGTCTTTTCGTTTTCCGCGAATGTCGCTGGGTAGCCGAGTTCTCCGGGTTCGAAAACAAGAGTCATTATGCTGCCGTCCAAGCTCGTTGCGTATAGCGTCTCTCCGTTTGGTGACCATGCCAAGTCGGAGATGGATTTGCTGGCCAACTCTTGCGAGCACATGAACGGCCTGGGGAAGCTCGTATTCCACACACTCAGGCATTTGTCTTGTCCAGCGCAAGCGACAATAGTAACCGTCTGCTGGTTAATGGTTCCGTCTTTCTCTGGCCGTGGCTCATCCCGGTAGAAAAGCCTTGGAGAGAATGAGGTTACTTCGACAGGCCCTTCGTGGCCGACCAGACTGATATCTCCATCCCACGTTCCACGCGCAAGAATAGCGACGGAGCTGACTGGTCCATTTGTAGCGTTTGCAGCAGCGATGTGTGCGCCGTCGGGTGACCACGAGCAGCGGCGGAAGTATGTGGTGAGTGGGGAAGTTTGGAAGGGTGCGGTTATGGTGTGGTCCAGGACGAAGTTGTTGACCTGGTCTTGCTGCGAGGCGTTCGGGGGCGGGGAGTTGAATCGGTAAACTTTGATAGTGCGGTCATCGCTAGCCGTAGCGAAGTATTTGTTGGCGGGGTCAAATGTTATGCCCTTGACGTGGCTCTGGTGGTTTGATAGCGTCTTCAGCTTTTCGAAAGAATGCCCAGACCAGACTACCACTTTCGAGTCCAACCCTACCGACACCAATATTGACGAGTCAAATGACCAGCCCAAATCTTGTACGTCGTTGTCGTGTCCTATGAGGCGACGAATGACGCGCCAATTCTCGACGGGCGGCGGTTCGTTCGATCCTGTAATGCCATCAGCCTACGTCCCTTGTACCTGCCCAACGTATACCCACCAAATGCTGTATGCGTCGGCGCATTCTTGTCGAGCGCATAGACACACACTATCTTGTCGTCTGCGCCAGATGCCAGGTATTTGCCGTTGGAAGAGAAGCGGACCGCATGGATGGTGCCGGAGTGGTTGCTGACAGCCGCGAGCTGCTTCGGCTTCGTATACGAGGGGTCGTTGGAATTTAGAATGGCCTCGGTAGACCAGACACGTACATAGCCGTCTACAGATGCGTGTTAGCTTAATTCTGAGGTGCGTCGCATCTCGTCGGAATCGAGGGTGGGTTGACGAACCTCCGGCGGCCGTGGCCAGGCGCGATCCATCAGGGGAAACGTGGCAGCTGTATACTTCAAAGTCTTTCTGTTCGCCTAATAGAGATTCATGTCAGCAAGATGCTAGTGCAAAAGGGCATGCATGCGCGGATGCACCCACCAGGATGAGTTAACCACTGTGGTTTAATGAGATGCATGGTCGCGTAGGTGTCGCTAGCAGTTGAATCATGCTATTACGCGACCATGAAAGGATTATTGGGAGTGCTGGGTGCGGTGGTTGAGGCGCACGTCGTGGTGCAGCGCGACAGTTGTCTGGTGTTGGCGACGCGATCTCGCGGTTGACGCTACTTGGCAGACGTTTGGGCAGGGGTTTAAGGTTTAGGTGCATGCGCCGATCGGGAAGTGGATGTTAAACGAGCGGCTCATGGTTGTAGGGAATCAAACATCAAGTGCATTTGGAGTATGGCATGTGTTTGTGATAATACAGTGAACCTGGTGTTCCTTCACCTTGATCCCTCTGATTCCCTGAGAGGCAGCCCTGGACAAGTCTCAAGTGCTGCTTGCACACCCAGCTCTGCCATTGGTTGCTCCTTCACAAAGACACCTGAAAATAGTACTACACTAGCTACATGCAGCTCTTCCCTAATCAGCTTATTCATCTAGGTGGTCATTCGGACCCTTGTGGTGGATGGTCATGGTATCCTGCGGCATGCGCATGCGCATCCTCACCGGCAAAACTCATTTGAAAATTCCGCGGGCTTGTTGCGAAAGTCTACTCTCGACTGTAGTCCAAGTTGGAGCTGAGATAGGCAAGGCCCAGGACGAGATGGGTAGCAGCGTGAGCGGTTGGTGCAGATGCTATGGGTTGTATCACTGGTGATGTCGTTCATTTCGCCTTCTTCCTCTTCTTGAACACCACAACCGGAGCAGCTGGCGCGTCCTCTTCCGTCTTGACAACAGTCTCAGCAGCCTTAGCCTCCGCCTCCTCGGCCGTGGGTATATCCTGAAGGGTGTTCGTGCCGATGTCTTCTTCAACTTCGGCTTTCACTCCATCCTCCTGGTCTTCTTTCTTCACTTCGGCTTGTGGCTTCTTCTTCCCAAGTAAACTCTCGATATCGTCGTCGCCGCCCTTGCTGCCTGGGAAACTCTTGTAGGTATGCCCCCAGCCCTTCCGTTTTGTGATCAGCTCACCAGCAGCCTCCCGCTCCTCTTCATCCTCGTCAAGTTGCCTCTTCCGTACGCCCTTGTTCAACGACGTCGCCTTGAACTCTCCATCTCCTGTCACTTCTCCCACGACTTCCTCCTTGACCGTCTTCCATTCACCTGCTATCGCCATATCGCCTCTTGCAGCCGCAGGAAGCGCCACGCCCATGGCTGCCAACTGCTCCCATTGTCGCTTCCTGTCATCTACTGTTGCCTTCTGCTGTGGCTTCTTCTCGTATGTAGGTTTGCCGCCTACGCCGGTTGCGACGGAGGGTGTGGATGCAGATGGCACGAGACCATTTAGACGTGCGACCTCTGCCTGTGCGCGAGCCTGGTTGCGCTTTTCGTTCTCTTGCTCGCGGTGGAGTCCCTTGAGACTGCGCTGTATGTTGCCTTGGTGGCGGCCGGTCGCTTCGTGTTGCGCGCGTTCGAATTTGGTGTCCTTCACAAACGTGGAGCAGAACTTGCACCAGTATTTTGGCTGTAGCTTAGTTAGTGTATGACGCGCTTATCAGGTTTAGTCCTACTTACCGTTGACTTCCAGTACTCGGCCATGGTCGCTCGTTGTGGACGGACGTGCAACCAGCGACAGTCGGGGAAAGCTTACCTGGCGCACGGTGCACCTCGGCGGTCCGCAAGGCTAGAGAAAACGAGTTCGCATAGCGTGAACCACGGCTGCGGGTCTTTCACCGCTCTCCACCCCCAAACCCTAATCGCTCTTCACATGTCTTCTAGCCTATTTCCTTCTTGGTCGCAGTTTTCGACTCGAGTTTCCATGTTTAGCAGACCATGCCCCCGCCATCAGATCCTTGCACGTCATTGAGATGACTAGGAAGAGTTCAGATTTGCTTGAGGGATACCGGGTAGCAGCAGAAAGCAAGCCCTTGTTATCATCACGCCCTTCCTACGTACTGACTGGTCGACTACACCAACATGGCTGAGCTAAAGGATGCCAGACGCCTTAGCGAAGCGCGTGAACACATTCTTCTGCCGCCTTAGCCGTCGCTCTCTATCTTGTCTGATCGTATAGACAATGTCCCTCTGTGACACCCCGCACTTCCACGAAGCCTCAGATGGCTGTGTCACTGGCTTCAGCGGTTATACAACTTGTCAACTTTGCGAGGAAAGTGATCCAAAAGGACAAGGTGGGCAAAGTATACAAATCCACCAGCACCACCCTAGGAGAGGCTACACTGCTCGATGACGCCATCGCTAATCTCGGCAACTTATCACAACAACTTGAGAAGGCACGACGCGCATACTACAAGTCTCATATATCCCCTGATCAGGAAACTGCAGATGCGCGTCTGAATGCATTGGCGAAAGATGGCGGGGGAGTGGCGAAGATCTTACAGGCCACACTGGACCAAGCGAAGCGCGACAATGCCGTGGACAAGGAGACGGTACTTGCACAAGGACTACGCAGCATTCTGAACTTGTACTACAGTCAGAAGACGATATGTGATCTTGCGGATAAACTTGGCTCTATTCGTAAGCAAGTAGATGTCGCTCTGCTTGCCTCGCTCCGGTCAGTGAGATGTCACCAGTGCGATCACACATTGACCCAGATCATAGGCAGTATGCGATTCAAAGGCATTCAGTTTATTCAGAGAAAATACGGATTCCGGCGGATGGAACTACAGGATCTGACACATTCCTGCTCCAGTCAATCGCGCATCACGATTGGAAGACTACGGAGACGGTTGATGTCTCGGCGTTTTCAGATACATTCGAGACTTCCGTCGTAAGCAATGATATCGAACGCCGTTTCGCCAGCTTGATGTTGGCGCGGTTGCATTTCACTGGCATGCACGATCGACACAAGGCGATTCCTATTGCGCACCCAGGAACCTCGCAATGGATATTCGATGCGAGTCCCGAACAGCTCGCCCCTGATGACTTCGACTCCTTTCCTCGGTGGCTCACCGCAGCAAGTTGTAGTAACACATATTGGATCAGTGGCAAGTCGGGTACTGGGAAGAGTACGCTGATGAAATTCGTGTCTAGTCACCGTTGCACCACCGCTCATCTACGCGCCTCGGCCAAAGGAAAGACACTCGTCAAAGGGAGCTTTTTCTTCTCAAGTCTGGGCAATGACATGCAAAGATCGCGTATGGGGCTTCTGCAAACCTTGCTTCACTCTGCGCTCAAAGGCGACACGGAGACGCTGATCCAAGTCTTTGATCGTCGCTGGCAACAATTCCTTGCTTCGGGTGGAGGTAGACATCCTTTCACTTGGCTTGAGTTGCGTCAGGCCTTCATAACAATGATGTCCACGACTAGCGAATCAAGATTGTTTTTCTTCGCAATCGATGGCCTAGACGAAGTCGAAGGTGGCTTGAAAGAAATTATTCAATTGATCAAAGACATAGCCAGATATCAACATGTCAAGGTTTGCGTTGCCAGCCGGTCGTCGCCAGAGCTTCTTCGCGCATTAGTAGGCAAGCCTTGTCTACGTCTTGAGCGTCTGAATCGCCAGGATATTTTTAACTACGTCACGGCCTTATTGGCAAAGTCGCAAGCATACGTCAAGCTCAGCAGAACGGACCACGGTCGCGCTACTGAATTGGTCAAAGGTATAGCTAAGAAGGCAGCCGGCGTCTTTCTCTGGGCACACATCGTGGTGCAACTATTACTTGATGATCTGCCACCTACGGCCCGCATGGTCAGTCTTGTCGCTCGGCTCGAGACAATACCATCTGGACTAGAGCAACTATTCACTAAGCTTCTCGGACGTCTGAATACGGAACACCTGAAGCACGTGTCGGAACTCCTCCGTCTGATGACGATAAAACCACGGCCTCTTCTGCTCGAGCTATGGTTTGCGGACGGCAACAACGATGACGCAGCATTGAGGAACGAGGCTCGACCGCTGTCAGACAATGACATATCCGAGCGTCTCGAAATGATGAATCATCGACTAATTTCCCGATGCAGAGGATTTCTGGAGACAGAGAGCCAGCATGGAAGTGCAAGCTCTGGACTATCGAAGAGTAAGCCGAGATTTCATAATAGATCAGATTATAACTCACCACCTATAGCGTCTCACGTTACCTGGACACACCGCATTGCGAAAGACTTTGTCCGATCTCAACGAATATGGAACATCATACTCGACAACACCGGGCATGATGCTTTCGATCCTGAATGGCACTGGGCCAACGGTCAACTAGGTCTATTCAAGACTTTCGCCGGGACCACCAGTACCAAGACCTCTCACTTCCTATCTTGCGTCGAGTACGCACTGCGATTAGAACAGCGGCTCAATATCTGCCCCGTCAAGTTCCTAGATGAAGTCGGCCGTACCGCAACGATATACGCGACTGTATACGACGACATCGTGCCTCGGAAACTCAAAGGCACTATCAACAGCTTTCTAGAGTTCGCTGTGCTGTTCAATCTCGTAAGCTACGTTCGTGGCAGGGGCCTAACGCTATTGAGAGAGGAGCTACTACATGCTTCTCGCTTGCTAGGCGTGCTGGATGCAAAGAAGTGGGAAGGGTTCGTAAAGCGTTTTGACCACCCTGGAATCTGGAGTACGGGGTTTGAAGAAAGAAGAAAGGACATGCAACAGGTGATTGACAGCCTGTTAGACCGCGGAGGCGGTGAGTCAAGATGGCAAAGAGCGAGGAAGAGACTATCTGGGCAGAAGAAGACATGAGTCGTTATGTGTCGCGTCTGCATCAGCTTCTTGAGTACGATGGGGCATATCTTACTGGGGCGGTCGTGTTACATCGTTCATTACCATGGGCTGCTCCAAAGACACACTGACGATATATTTATCCCAAAACACTTTACCTTCCACATACGACCATAGGATCATGAAAATTAGGCTTCCCGTCCGCTCAGCCATATACAAGCATGATACCGGCGGATTAGTAGTTAGGTGGGTGACCACTAGCGAATCCCCGCTGTTGTATGTTATTGACCTTTTTTGCCAGTTGGGCTATCTTTTTGCTACCCTGGCCATGAGTTGGGATGGTATCATCGCATCGCAGTGCATCCATACTATACAAACTCCGCCCACCACAACCTTACAACACCTGCCACGGCATCAACATCCATCTTTCACCCACTCTGCCTCACTCCATCTTCGGCGCCCTCAAGTTCAAGTTCTCATACTCCGGCAACTCCCACCTCTTCTCCTTCCCCTCCGGCAGCCACCCCGCAAGCCACCCAAGCACCTTGTCCACCCTCATCGTCGAAATCGACCAAAGCACCCATCCCACAGCCCAGACTCCCCATGCCGACTCCGGAAAGAACCTCCATTCCTTCACCAACGGCCCCAGTTCCTGACACTCCTCCACCGGCTGCTTCATCTCCTCTTGGTACGCTTCCAGCGCCGCGTCGACATCACTGCCACACCGCGCCAGTTCGCCAGCGAGGACATATGCGCCGATAAGAGATAGTGTTGTTCCCATACCCGTAAAAGCAGAGGGACAGTACCCCGCGTCTCCGAGCAGTACGACTCGGTCTTTATACAACTCGCCGCTGGGCATCTTGACTTGACCGATCTCCGTGGCGTAGAAATCCTTCACATCTTCCAACCCCTTCAGGAACCGCGGACACTCCCACCCCGCATCGCCATATTCCTCGGTCCAAACAGCCTTCTGCTCATCCACTGGTTTCTTATACGTACCCCTCATGCGACTCGCCCGCTCTTCACGGTTGTTCAAAAGGAAGAGGTAGACTTGCGTCACGGGACGGTCGCCCGTGCGCGTCATGACCATGCGGTTCTGCGGACCGAAGTAGATACGCGCGAGGCTGTTTTCTGAGGGCAGGCGCGGGACGTTGTAGTATGCAGCGTGGATGTTGAGGGACTTGAAGGACGCGTCACTGGTTTCTTGACCAAAGGCGAGACGCCGCGTTCGTGAGGATTGGCCGTCTGCGGCGACGACGAGGTCGAATGTCGATGTTGAGCCCGTGGAGAAAGTCACTTCCGTTGTCTTTGCCGATGGATCTGGTGAGAGTGCAGTAACAGTCGTCCCAAAAACATACTTCAAACTCCCACCATACCCTTGTTCATCCAGTGTTTCCCTCTCCTGGAGACTGATCTCATACACCATCCTCACAAAATCCCCCCTCATAAACTCAAACTCATTCGTCAGCGTCCTTCCCGGGTTCTCCCCCGCAGCCGTAACACCAAACTGCATCAAGCACTTGCCGTTTCCGTCAATGAATTCCAGGCCGCTCTCGTGGACACAGTAGGGCCGGAGTGTTTCGAGGAGACCCAGTTTGGTCATGATGGGGATGCCGTGCGCTTTTAGGTCGATTTGCTGGCCCCCGGTGCGGAGGGAGGGGTAGCGTTCTAGGATTGTGATGGTGTGGGTGGGGTTGCTGCGTTGGAGGATGAGGGCGAGGAGGGGGCCGCAGACGCCGGCGCCGAGGATGAGGATGTTTAGGGGGTGGGGTTGTGAGGTTGTCATTTTTGTGATGGTGTTTGGGTAGGACTAGAGAGTTGCTTTGATGAATTGCTAGTATTTGGACGCACGCACAACGCAGTAGGAGTAGAGAATGGGGTTTGTAGGTAGAGGAGAGTGGGCAATATGCTTGAAAGGCAAGGACACCAGCTAGATGATAGCCGGGACTATCCTTCAAGGCATCTTCATTTTTTATATCATCGTTGCTACACAAAGCCGGCGCAGTACGATGCTCCCCCGAACGGCATTTTCGCACATTGGGGCGGAGACCGTGTTCTCCGAACTCTTCTCCGAACGCTGTTAACGCGGACATAGTAGGCGTTAACCTTTAGGGATCCAATAGCGGAGCTATGTAGACTGTTGCCTTGGCATCCTTGCTCACTCTGCTGCAGTCGGCGTCAGCGCGCATGAGTGTCTGTACGCCTTATGTCGCTCAACGAAGAAGGATACCTAGGTATGTGCCGTTTAGAGACTGTAGCCTAGATTATGTACTACAGTTTAGATTGTAATACTGTTGAAATTCACTGGCGTTGTTGAACAGGAGTGAGTTGATAGTTGACAGGATGAACGTCGTGATGATGCAGACTTCAGGGTCGTCTGCGGGCGGATCACCTGTCGGCGCCAAGCAAAAGTGAAGCTCGTCGCTTCGCATCACGAACGCCGACCTCCACCAGCCCACCCGCCTCCTGCGCTACATCGACACATAGGTCACCAAACCCTGTACATACCAACTTACAGCCGGTTATCGCCGACGTCAGACTCTCGAAAAGTCAACAAGCCGCACACGGTCCACCAAACCTCGCAATGGCCATCCTAGGGACGGCCCTCAACGGCATCGGCGCGCTCTTCCTCACACATGCGTACGTGTACACGTAGCTCATATCTACATCTTCCCAGACAGAGGGTCAAATGAGCATCACCACACAATCCCTACTCCCAACTAACCCCCACCAGCGTCTACTCAACCCACGAACACACCGCAACCTTCGCATCCACGCCCCTCCCCCTCGACATCTCGCTCGAACTCCTCACCTCCATCCTCATCCTCTCCCTCGGCATCGTCATATCGTTTGCGCCGCTGAAGCCAATACAATACGCACAATGGGCGGGCCAGATCTCGCGGGAAGGACGACACGGTGAGGGCTACTACACAAAAGAGGGTGAAGAGGTACTGAGTGAGGGTGATCCGTATGCGTTTTTGGGATTGGATGGCGGGATTGGTGGGAAGGGGGAGGGGAGGAAGGGGTTCTGGGATGTTAAGGGGAAGAGGAAAGAGTATGAGGAGTGGGTTAGGCAGGGTGGGAGACAGTAGATGGAAAAGGACGGCGTGGGAGATTTGGGTTGAAGAGGTCCAGCGGATGGGCGTGGTACACTGGCAACGCGCACCGGTGGCGTGCTTGGGCATGCATATCGTCACGAAGCGTCTCATACCCGGTACGGAAGATAATTGTATGTCGACCACCGTTACGCCTATCGTACATCGCCCAAATGCCCAATCTCGATGCCCCATACCCTGTGTCCCGACTGTCCCAAAACCCAGACGCCATGCTTAAACGAGCAAAACCAGCAACCCAATCAATCTGTTCCATGAAGCCATTTCTCTCCAACCCTTTCCTCACGCCTCGCTCGTCATCTTCTCAACCTGATTCCCTCCACATCCATTCACCCTACAAGCCCAACACCCCTTCCCCTCCATCTCCTCGCCAATAGCCGCAACATCCGCACTCTTCCTCCTCGGCCCCTCCGCATCCCCATTAACATCAACACCACTAACCCACCAGATCCCCGCCGCAATAACCTTGGCCACAACCTCCACCTCCGCCTCATCCCTCGGCGCATACACCAGCATAAACTCCCTCGGCACAAACTTCCTACACCACCCACCCCTCGCAAGCGGATGTCTCTCACCCCACCCCATCTCAATCAACAGATTCGCATCCGCAGGATGCAACGTCATATGCATCGACCCATCACTAGGATGCGCATGACAAATCTCGCCTCCACACGTCCTCGTAATCGGCACACTGGTAAACAAACCCGAACTATGCTTCTCAAAGCAACTCGTACGTTCCAACAACCTATTACCCGGATCCGCTGCAAGACCCTTGATCTTGGCTACCAAGCACGCATAAACCGCCTGCCCGCTCTTCTGCGTCTGCTGTCTCTGCGGCGCGATACCGCGGATGAGCGGTTTCGTGCCTTTGCGAGTCGGTAGCGAGGAGGGCGTGAAGTAGCCTTTTTGCGGACGGAAGTGTGGGGGGATGGCGATGGGGCGGAGGGGGTCGCGCAGGCAGATTAGAGAGAGGAGTTTTATCTTGAGGTAGCCGAGGGGGGTTGCTGGGGTGCCGCCGGGGCCGAGGGAGAGGAAGGCGCGGTAGTCTTTGTGGATGTAGAGGGCTGTTAGGGTGGGGAGGAGGAGGGCGAGCGTTGCGATGAGCATGTGGAGGTGGGTTTCTGTGAACATGCTTGGGTGGGGTGGTGGTATGGTTGGTTCGTAGGATGGGTGTAGGGTTGTGGTTGTGAGGTTGTGTTGATCAGCCATGTTGGATGTCCAGGTGATGTTGTTGGATGGTCGTCCTGGAGGTAATTGAAGACGTGGAAATTGAACAAAGAAAGCAGGAAGATGTTTGCTGACAGTCCTCTTATGCCTTCCTTCTCAACAAGACAAGAGAAATACAGAACCCGGGAAAGCACAATAGCTCCGTGGCCCCAGTAAAGAAAGGAAGATCAGCCCCACACGTGCACTGCAGGAAGGAAGGTCGGTGAGTACCACGCGAGACTCAGGGTCCGCGGGATCTAAGAAGGGATGACGTTGAATTGATACAACAAACAAAGCTACCATTCAAACACTAAACGAAAAGCCTCAATACAGTAGAAACCCAGAAGCAGAAGCCTAAAAGCCTCAAGTACCAGCTCACCTCCCCATCACGAGCACACACACCCCTTCTTATAATCCCTCAGAAACGCCAGCAAACCAACGCAGCAACCATAGCGACCGACCGACCGACCGACGTCAACCCCGTGGTCCCCCAAACCACAATCCACGTGCCTAGCCCCGCATCCGGTTAGCACGGCCCTCACCTGCATGTTTGTGGGGTTAGCGGCCGACCGCGCTAGCAAGCCCATTGGCCCACATCACGGTGCCTGTGACGTTTGACCTAAATCAACAATGCTGGCGTTCGCTTCCCATTCTCTCTTTTTATCCACTCGCTGCAATTTACTTCGTCATTCTGTCGTGTGTGCGTTTTATGAGAGATGGTCTGGGCGCTTTGAAGGTTTGCCATCGCCGATGTGCGGGAGCAAGGGTGAGGGAATTGGGGGTTGTACGAAAGAGAGCGGGCATGATGCTGGTGAGGGGAATGCTGAGATCAGCTGTGCTCACGTGGTCTTGTGCACGGTTGTCTTTCTAGAAAGAGGGGTTTTTGGGAAGCTGACTTCTCGTGTTCAGCCTCTTTCTTACGTATGTCGCTGTCTTGGGGTACAAAGTATGTGCTCGTTCGCTCGTCGCGGCATGAATTGGCGAGGTACGCTGGCACGCTTTGACCATCAGCTGGGTGTTCTGATCACCAACGGACGAACCGGAAGCGTGCCAGATGGTCATCAGGCGCGGGACTAGCTTCGTGGTATCAATACCCGCTAGTTCACGATAGCTGGTGTCGGCGTTGTTCAATAGATACCCTGCAGCGTGCAGCATGCAGTGTGATCGGAGGAGCGGTGATGCGTGGCGCGCTGTGAGCTCTTTGCATTATCGCCGAGCTCGGAACTTGGGTTCAAGAACGTGGCTGTCAGTACACGGTCGTTTGTTTTTAGATTGAGGTGTCAGGCTTGTTCATCATGGGGATGCGTACTTGCGGCTATATATTTCGCAGTTGGGAAAGCAACTCGGTCACCTCTCAATTGCATTGACACTCATAGTGCCTTGGTATAAGCGGCACAAGAGCGAGACGGGAGAAGAGAAGAGTAATTCACTATCAAGATTTTCGAAATGGTAGGGCTGCTTGCTGTTTGCGAAGACGGATAGGTGATGGCACGTACCATGCAGCGACGAAGACTCTGCAGATTCCCGCGCGTTCCAGCGCATCGCGCCGCAATCGTGGATCAGTCTTCCCAGGTGATCCGCACCTCAATGACCTTGTAATCTGCGGGGAATCCAAGTTCAGCAAGACCGTTGTCCACATCTTCCTGCCGCCTAGGCCGCGAACAACTATTCCACGACCCCTTCTCAGATCGTCTCTTCGCAGTAATGTTGACGAATACCGCCCAGGGCATGTTGGCTTTTCTCTGCTTCACATCCGGAACGAAGATTTCAAGCTGTGCGGAGACCACTCTTTCGAGTTTCTGTGCGTCCATGTTCTTCAAGACCGACACCACGGATTGTATCTCATTTACCATGTCAGACGTGGGGAGGATTTTTCTCAGGCCCCCTGCGCAGAAATTCATGGTGAATGAAGGGAACTCCTTCTGGACTTGAATCATTTGAAGAAGGTCGACTTTCCGTTGTTCACCGGTTCCGTACTTGTGGAGGGGTATGAGGATGTAACGGTTAATCGTTCGTAAACTTTCGTATGGTCGCTTGATGAAGAAGACGTGCAGATAATTGTTCAGTTGTCGGAAAGGGACGACGGGACTGTATAGCCGCAGCCTGATGGACGGAGACAGGTACATAGGCGCGAACTCGTCGTGGACTTGCTCATGAGAATTGACAAGATTTATGGCGTCAGCACATTTTGGTGTTAGATGGAGGAATTCGGTGTAGATGGCGTTGCGTAGCTCTATATTGAGGACCTGGAATCAGCCCCGGGCAGCTAAATCGTGGGGTTTGGAGACTTCGTACCTCCGGGTAGGTCAAGGAAATTTGCTCTGTGGCGGTAGTGTGCGCTACTTCGAAACTTAGTTTTCATCGACTGGTACCCCGTTGTTACACGGCTCTTTCGACATACTTGAGTGCCATATTGTTGGTGCAACGAGGAATAGAGTGCGCCTTTGGCTCAGACTGGGGCCAGGTCTTGATTTGGGCCACGCCACCTAGGTGTTATCGCGAAACCGCAACCAACCTTCCAAAGGGGCTTGGCTATGATGTTCAGCGGTTTGATGCCGACGAGGGGGTGTCGTAAACAAAACAGAACGGTGTTTGTATTGTATAGCAACACTTGCACCTGAGTCCAAGATGCGGCCTCCCGCCAAGACCACGCTAATCCTAAGAAGTCGATGACCGGGCCGGCGTCAGGAAACTAGGCTGCTGGCTGATTTCTCACAATTTCAAGCTCATCACATGAATCTGAACAGCCTTAACTCGTATATCACTCTACATTTTTCCTGTAACTAGTCCTCCAATGAAATTGTGCATCACTTGAAGTTGCGGCCATCATCGCCCATCTAATCATAGATTCCACGGTATGTTGCATTATTCTGCTCCGGCTAGCTAGCTAGCTAGCTATCCTTTGGCTTTCTGATCCCTCTCCATAGGACTATGGTGATGCGAAGCAGACGAGCGACTCATAATTGCCGAAATCCGTATATACCCATCCAACCAGGTCCTCTCAAAAAGAGAAGTCTCGTCAACGAAAGAGCTAGTCCTCACATGTCTACTTCCTTCCCACCACAGCGAAGCTCAACTATCTCCTCCAGTCTCTAGGATTCCAGACTGGCTTCCTGACCATGCGCCCATGAAAACACACTCTGATGCCTCCACATTCGGTATTGATGCCGTTACAATCACCGAGCCCCGAATCTTTGATCTCTTGTTCCGTGCAATGATCCTTCAAAGTGATGTAAAGACACGCCAGTAGACCGGAACTGTGTTTATCAGGCTGAGCGGACAAGTATAGCTCAACAGAAGCCACCTTCGCGTAAACCTCATCCTTCATGTTTCTGAGATTACGCACGGGCACAGCGAGATCTAGATCGCGAACTGTGAAACTAATCAGCCTATCCAGGAGCGCTTTCCCCCTCTCATCTGCTGCGAGGTATTCTTCATCTAGTTTCTCGTCGTCGAGTGCATCGGATCGAGCAGCGTTCAAATCCCATTCAATGTTGAGTAGAGGATACTCGCGCATGACCGAGACGACTTCTCGCAAGTCGAGTATCCATCGGCTCTCGTGCCATACGGCCGCGGACCAACTGAGCTCTACACAGAAGCTGCAAGTGAAGTCCCTTGGCTTCTGGCTAGCGATAGGGTGGAAGGTGTGGCGTAGGAATGGTATGAGGCGGTCGAAAGGTACCGTAGCGTTGCCCTCATTCAGGTACAATGACCCAAACTCAGAGCGGATCTGTCGATTAACTTGGAGGAGCTGCGCATTTTGGCGGAGAGATGGGTCGAGGTCGATGAAGTAGTTGTAGACGGTGTTGCGCAATTCTGTGACATGACGGGTTAGTTTGTGACCGTTGTAGAAGACAGTCGATGGAGCCCTTACCTCCAGAAAATCTGTCAAGGAATGGCGCTCCGCCACTGTGGTCCCTGCCGCCATCATCGTCAGTTTGTTCTTTCGTGAAGCAGGATGGTCAACTGCAACATACTGGGTTGTTATCATGGTGCTGTGCAGTGGTAGCTTGTATTCTCCACCTGAGCGTACTGGAAGATAGCTTCGTAGGTGGACTGAAAAGCTCTAGTAGCAAACAAGATTGTGTGGACGACAGGTCGTTTTGTCTGAGCGGCCGCCAAGATCTGCTGTGCAACGTAGACCGCGCTAGACACAAACGACCAGGCAGGCAGCTTCTTGAACTCGGAATACTGACTTAAATCTCGCATCTTCAGGTAAATGGCATGAGATGGGCTATTACCCGTGCGATATTTTAGATCTTTGAGATCTCTCGTTGTATTGTACTTTCAAACTGCTGTCCCACCACTGTTCCACGCATCTTCCCTTGCTTCCGAGGTATCGTGTGCGCTTCGTACTGCTGCTAGTCCAAGTGCAACATTATACCTCCGCGTTGATACCTAAGCCCCCCAAACTTAAGCCGGATATCGTCGGTATCTTGTTCTGTACATCCACGTGTCAGAATGGTGTAAATGTATCCATTCAATGGCTCATCATCAAGAAGAAGCCGAATGGAAGATATCTTCCCAAACTCGTGATCTTCCATATCCTTTAGGACACACACATAATCAGCGAGACCTAAGTCATTGCGGGGCTCGGAGTGGCCAGGCGGGACCAAGTTCCATTTGATACTGAGCAGAGGATACTGTCGCATGATCGAGATGACGTCCACCAGGTTGGACTGCCAATCGACGTCGTCTGTTTTGCGGCCGCGGAGCTCCACCCGGATCTTGCAAGCAACCTCCTCACACACCAAGTTCGCAGGAGGGAGGATGAAGGCGTGTAGGAGGCTTGCGACGTCGTTGAAGTAAACTTTCACATTGCCCTGACTGAAGTACAACGATCTAAACTCGGCGCGAATTTGCCGGTTGACCCACAGTAGGTTAATGGCGTTGGTGTCACACGCGCATGTGTTAAGGTCGATGAAGTGTTTGTAGATTGCGTTACGTAACTCTGTCTCATGTGTTCAGCTTGCGTCAGTTGAACAAGCAGGATGGCGGCACTTACCTCCAGGCAGGTCAAGGAGCGACTTCCCGCCGCGGTGGTGTTGTTTGTCGCTGCGTTCATCAGTATGGGCTTATGCGGAGTGGTCTTCGGGCACAACTTACTCGGTTGTCATCGTGACAGTATGAGATAGTAGCTCAATTTATGGGTAGGTCTTGATGGAGCAAGTATTCCTCAGGAATATTTGGTGAGTGTCGTAAGCAAAGTGAGTAGCTCGACCAAGGCGGCAGGTCGTAGATCTGAGCCTTTGCCAAGACTGCGCTAAAAATATTAAGTGAGAGAAAAGAAGTGGGTTCTCCATGGAACTGCGCACCCGAGTGAAGACTGTTGATTGGCTTTGTCTTCACTTGGTACCACAAATTGTACGTTGGTGGTTATCACAGTTGCTAAATATGGTCGAGATCACTGCGTCTATTTTAGGCTAAGCTGGCGTCCACGTTATCGCATTTGCACAAGGGAATGGCAGTGACGACGAGGACGATTCGTTCCACATCTCATAACTAGTAATCTACGTGTATGCATTTTGATAAGCAGACTAAACCAGCGTCATAGACTCTTACTACTGCCGGATCTCATATAAATTGAGAGAGATCGCGATCCTCAAACTCTCCATAGCTTCAACTTCATCCAGAGAATCGGTCTCCTTATCGTGTACAATCTGCCCATACATCTGAGAGCAAACCCTTTCAGAATATAATCAAGTCTCCTAAGTCTGGAAGCACCTGATCTTCGCTCTCTGAGTCGTTGTGACCGTCATCTGCATTGTCTTCCTCGCCATCTAAACTCTCGTCATCACTGTCCACACTGTCTTCCAACACAAGCTCTACATCGATGCCTCCGCAATTGGTATCGAAATTATCCAAGAAACTATCTGCCACGTTCTTGTTCAACTCGATCATAAGGCTAGCGTCTAGGGCGGGGCCGGTCACGACCCGGAATGGCTGGAAGCTGTGTAATTCCTTCGGCGATTCGGACAAAGTGAGCCTGACAAAAGACAGCTTGCTGAAATTTTCGGCACTCATACATCTCAGATTGGTAACGGCGTGGGCAATGTCTGTGTCATCGAACGACACGGCGGAGTAGCGACCCATGCCCGCGCCCAGGTCCCAGACCACTTCGATCAGAGGGTATTTGCGCATGACCGACACGACCTTGAGCAGGTCCATTGACCAACATGGAGTCAGATCGCCATCGATGCTTTTGGGCCCTGGCAGTCCGAGTCCCACGTTGAACTTGTAGAGCACGGTCTTGGGAGCCGCGTCGGGGTACTGAACGAAGAAGAAGTGAAGGAAGAACGGCACGTGCTCGAATGGAACCCCGGTTGTGCCTTGATATAACCGGCTCAAATACAGCGTCGTGAACTCCGCGTGGACCTGCTGATTGACGCAGGCGAGGTTGGCAGCATCGCTGGTTGATGGGCTGAGATCGATGAAGTGCTGGTAGAAGGTGTTGCGTAGCTCTGTTCTTGTGTCAGTCAACATATTAAGAAGGTGCAATAAGCTCTATTACCTCCAGGTACGTTGAGGAAGCTGTTTCTGTCGCGAGGGCTGCCGACGTTGTGCCTAGATGGCCGTTAGTACATGTTTGTCGAGGAAAGCTTTTTTGCAACACTTACTGGTTTGTCATCGTGATGTCGCGCGATAATAGCACGGGCTAGAATCGACAGAAGGAGCGAATGTAGAGGATAGGTCGAGGGTAGGTAGGAAGGATCGTTGTGCGCGAAGAAGCGTTTGTTTGCACCTCCGCCAAGACTGCGCTAGGAATCTCACGGTGAGCGAGGAAAAGTGTGAGCCCTGCATTGAGAGTAAGCGCTGGAATATGAGAGAACCATGCGAGCAATACGACGTGTATGCCACAATATTTCCGTTGATCATGTGGGTAGATTTCATTCATGGCGTATAGACTCATCATGAGGATATGTTTCCACCATCTCAGTACGCCCCAATTCATCTTCGCATACCCCAGTCTCATTTCAGTAACCACATTTTTCCCTAGCCACTACTTTCCACAGCGCCTTCGCTGCTGTCTGGAGCGTCTTCATCGCCATCCTCGTTATCCTCGTTATCATCTCCATCGTCTGAACTCTCTTCCTCACTGTCTGAGCCATCCTCGTCCCCACTTGAGCTTTCTGGAGTCTCTTCTTCACCGTCTAAACCTAATTCCCAAGCAAAACAGACGTTGATTATTCCGTATTTGCGGCTGAGTCCCAGCCTAGAAGGATCTGTTTTCCTCTTCAATGTGACCCAAAGGTAAGCGCAGCAATTCGAGCGGTTGTTAGAAAATGAGTGTATGAAATACTTCACTGATGTTATCTTTTCGAACTTTCGAGTGTCCATGCTTTCCAGAATGGAAATGATCGTGGTGATATCTTTGAACCATGAGATCTTGAGTAGAGGGTATCGATGCATGATCGTGACCAATTCCAGTAGGCCGATCAACCAGTCTTGCGATTCTAACCAGTCGAAGGACAGGTCGGTGAGGGAACCATTGACTCGCGGTTCCAAGTCGAAGTGACGAGGGAAGAAAACGTGTAGGAAGCTGTCGACTTGTTCCGTAGGGATTGCGAAGTGCCCTGATGCCAGACACAGCGAGCCAAACTCAGCGCGAATCTGCTGGCTTGAACGCGCTAGTGCGGTAGCTTCGCCGACTGTAGGATCGAGGTCGATGAAGTGGTTATAGACGGCATTGCGAAGCTCTGTAATCTGGCGTTAGCTTACCATGGCTGAATAACGCTCATACGATGCTTACCTCCGGAAAGGTCCAGAAGCGACTTCCCGCCACCCTTGTCTCTACTGCTTCGACTGTTAGCACGCACTCACTGAGAATGCTGGCTGGGTAACATACTTGACTGCCATAGCGATGTTGCGCAGCGGGGATTAGATCGTCTCGGAGTGTTAATACACGAATGGAATGACCGTGTAGGAGGGTTCGGTGAGAACTGTAAAGAAGGAATGTTGTTGTTCACGATGAGGCGTTTGTCAGTGTCCCGCCAAGACCGCGCTAAACCAAAGAGGGGTAGTAAAGGTGAAGACAAGAGCTAACACTCTCTCTTGTCATCCTCCGTCCCCATACATGAAAGCTATCGCAGCTATACTGTATACTAAAGTGACATCTTAATGACAAGCTCACATCAAGATCAGAACGCAGTCTGAGTCAAAGGCGCACTCTATTTCGTTTATTCCGTGCGCATTACATGCACAATATCTGGTCTCTGCTCTCGGGACCATCTTCCCCGTTGTCTGAGACCTTTTCGGCAATATCTGAATCGTTTTCCTCATTACTTGACCAATCATCCTCAGGGTACGACTCCCAGTCTGACCAGCCCCGAAAGCTGCCCTCCCAACTAATCTCCACTTCAATACCTCTGCATCTGGTAGGGTACAACAACGACTTGATGCTGTTGACATCTTGCTTAGTCGCACCTCTCTTCAGCATACAAGGCATTTCAGCCTCTATTTCGGTCCTACCGAAATGGTTGGATTCGATATATTTGTTCAAGTAGAGCATGACGGAATTCAAGTTCCCGAATAGTTGGACATCCATGTCCTTCAGGGCTGACACGGTGTACGCCACCCCTGAATCGTCGAATGTCGTTTCCCTAAAGCTGTCTACCAGATTCCATGCAATGCTGTTCAACGGGTGATGACGCATGATCGAGACAGCTTTCAGCAAGTCGAGCGACCAATCAGCCTCTTGATAGTCCCCAGCAGCGCCCAACTGAACCTCAAACTGATATGAAACGTCCTTTAGACCTGAGTTGAGACTTTGACCGAAGAATAAGTCGAGGAAGTAGTCGAACTGATTGAACGAAAGCCGACTTCCGCTGTGGTACACCTGGTGTAGGTATAAGGTCATAAACTCAGCATGTATCTGTCTGTGTACAGAGGCCAGGTTTAAAGCATGGCCATCCGACCATCCAAATTGACTGAGCCTGCGCCTTTGACTTAAAGTAGAGCCGGGTGGTAGTGAATCCGGCTGGTCCTTAAGATCGTCGATGAAGTGCTGATAGACGGTATTGCGCAACTCTGTGATCCTTCAATTAGCCTGTGAAAGCAATGTAAAACACGGTGTACATTACCTCCCGGTAAATCGAGGAAGCTCGTTCTGCCGCGGGGGTTACCGACGCTGCCAGCGTTAGTACATGCCCACCAAGAGGGGCTCCTTTGCAGGGCTTACTGTGCTGTCATCGAGATTGTACGCGACTTACGCACGTTGCTTGGGTGAGGGTCGACAAATTAACCTTCGGTTGAGGGTTAGTCGAGCGTAGGCACCAGGTGTTGGTGTGTGCGGGGTTGCGCTTGTTTGTACCTCCGCCAAGACCGCGCTAGGAGGTCGAGCGAAAGTGAATGTAGCACAAGAGCTGGGAGATGATGGGACGTGAAGGAGCAGAGCAAAAACCCCGCGAATCTCGTTGTAAACCTGAATATAATCGATAGGAACTTCTTTTACTAGCACGCTAATAAGCGCCTTCCCTCTTCTCATACTCCATCCCCATCACAGTTCCCACCTTCTTCATCCCACTCCAAATCTCCGCATCAACCTCCAACTCCAATCCCTCCACCTTCGTCGCCCCACCATCAAGTCCCCAAAGCGAGACACCCAGGTAGTTCGTTCCGTTGTAGTTGAGAATACCCTCCGTAACAGGGAACTTGACCTGCGGTCCAACATTACTAACGTATTTACCATACTGCCAGCCATTAACATAAAGCTGGACGCGATACGCAGGAACACTGGAGCCACTGCTGCTACTGTTGCCAGAAGAAGTGCCGTTGGTGAAAGTGAAACTGAGCGGGATATCATAGCCAGCCGGCATGTTGAGATCGAATTCCGTGGCGAAGAACCCGATTCCAGGAGCGGAGATGCCGTCGGCTACGGGGCCGGCGGAAGCAGTCCATTTAGCGTCGGTGGCGGAGAGAGCACCGGGGAGATGTAGACCCTGGCGCTCGACGAAGAGACCGCCTTCGTTGAGGGGACCGCGCGAGATGTCGCGGTAATCTTCTCCACCCAGGTTACCGGTGAGCTTCCAGCTGATGTCGGAGGCGTCGTGGCCGGATAGCTTGTAGTCTAGGATACCGCGCGGGTTCTTCATCGTCTCGGTGCCGATGGTCCAGTTCTCGTCGAGGCCCTGGTTGTCGACTACGACCGTGATGGTGTATTTCTTTCCCTTGGTCAAGTTGGGCATGGCGAAGGTGGCGCTTCCGTTCAGGGCTGCGTCGTATCCGCGCCATGAACCGAGGAACTGGTCGCCGATCCAAGCGGATGAGCCGAACGCTGAGCCACCTTGGGTGGTAAGGTTAAAGGCTGTTTCGTTTCCAGATGCGGTGAATGTACCGCGGAACAGGAGTGTGCCGGTGTGGTAGCCGTAGTCGGAGCTGTAGAGCGAAACAGGGGTATCAAGGGGACGCAGAGAGTTGTACGTCTTCTCCAGATCGGCCGCAGTCCACTCGCTGTCATCGTATCCAGGTTGAATCTCAGGAAGCGAGTCGACATACTTCCACTCGAGTTCGCTGAGCTTGGGCAGGCTGACATCTGGCTTGGCGAATTCGATGTCGGCGCACAAGGTTCCTTGCTCGGAAGTGGTGAAGTCGACATCCTGGCCGTTGAAAGTCATCTTAGACACATCAGATGATGCGCCACCAAGGACCTCGACAGTGGTGGTAGCATTGAGATCACCAGTGAGAGCGAGTGTGTCGCCAGTGACCTTGGCAGTGCGCATCAGGTAGCCTGCCTTAAGAATGACAGGATTGGACGAGTCGTGGGGTGCCTGATCGACGGCCCAGTAGTTGAAGGCTTCGACGCGGTCGACCATGTAGACGTAGATAGGGCTGTCAGCTCCAACCATTGCCACCTTTCTACCTCCATCAGCCTTGAAGTTCAAGACTGTGACTCCGCTAGTAGTCATGCTCTTGACATCGCCTTCGACGACTTCCAGTCCAGTAGCAGCGAGGGCCAACTCGTGAGTCTCTCCAGGTCCACCGTATACAACCACCACAGTCTTGTCTTCATACTTGTGCCAAGTGAAGACTTCGGCGGTAGAGTAGACGAGGGTAGTGCCGCCAATATCGTAGTCGCTGACGTGGATTTTGGAATCGCGGCCGTTCAGCGTCAACCAAGTGCCGTTCATTTGGGGTACAGTAATGTTGCCCAATGCCGACGTTGCAACGTTGAGCTTGTAGGTTGTGGAATCTAGCGAGTTGTACTTGGAATGCCTGACGAAGTAGAATGTCGTCTTCTCGTTGGTAGCGGGAGTAACGCTAAGGTCACTGCTGGTAGTCCACTTGGAAGTCGAAGCATTGCCACGTGCAGCCGTGAGGTACGCAGGGCTGACCTTGAAGAAGTTTGCCTGGAGCTTTAGCTCGGAGTACTTCGCGCGGTCGACTTGACGGTCCTCCTTGATCGGTGCAGCGTAGTCGTAGCTGGTGTAGCCACCTGGGTGACCAAGGTTGCCCCAGTTGGTGCCACCGTAAGTCATGTACAAGTTCAAGATGGTGACACCGAAGCTGTAAAGTTGCTTGTAGAAGACACGGTTGAACTCTGCGCCCACCAGAATGCCGCACTTGTCGAAACCGGGTCCACCCCAAGGGTCAAAACTGCCAGACTGGAACTCAACGATGGAGTAAGGCGTAGTGGGGCTCTGCTGCTCGTGAAGTTGATGCCAGTTTGTTGGAAGATTGCCATCTGGCCATGTGGTTGGGTTGGCACAGTCGAACCCAAGAGGATATCCATCGTGGCCGTAGATGTCAACAGCTGCAGGTTGACCGGGCGCGTTGTTGCCCTTAGCGGAGGCGTCGTTGCTGATCAAAGGCACGATAATACCGGCGTCGCGAATCTGATCTTCGACGTATTGCATGTAGACCGGATCCGGGAAAGGCTTGATAGCCGAAGTGGCTTGTGTGTACTCATTCTCGGGCTGAACGAGAATGATTGGTCCGCCGTTGGTGATTTGCGCAGGCGCAATTGTCGCTAACACATTCTTCATGTAGCTATTCCGCTGTTAGTAAGGTATCGCCTAGGTCCAGTCAAGAAACATACTTGTCGGTCGCCTCCAGAAAGTCAGGCGCACGCGTTCTCAGCGTGCCATTGACTCTCTGAATCCATCCGGGGAAGCCTCCACCAGATACCTCCGCATTAATGTAAGGGCCTGGTCTGGCGATGAGGTAAATGCCAGCTTCCTGTGCAGCGTCGAAGAAAGGCTTCAGGTCAAAGACACCCTCTTCGCGGTAAACACCGGGCTTGCCTTCAAGCAGCGCCCAGTCCACGTAAAATGAAACACCATTGTATCCAAGAGCCTTGATCTTCTGGAAGACATCGGAGTAGAGATCAGGCACCGGTAATCTGTACGGGTGAACCTCGCCAGAGTACAAGAAGATGCGTTCGCCATGTACGAAGAGCGAGTCTTCATCCCATGTGACCTGTAATGTCGGTTAGCCATCGTCATTCCGAGACATTGTATCAACTCCGCAACTTACAATATCTTGCAAAGCCTCTCTCTTATACGGCTTAATCCACTGCTGAGGCGAATACCCCACAGCCCTCGCCGCAGTCTCAACCGCAAAACATCCCAGCGCAACCGCGCCTGCAAGCTTTGAGAAGCTCTTCATATTGACCAAAATACGAAACCAAAGGTCAATTTGCTTGTGGCCCGGTCAGAGTCCGCGGGGATGGGACGAAATATAAAGCTTCCGGAGCTTCAGACGGTATGCATGTAGCCGAGCCGGGATCTTTCCTCGTTCCTGTCAGGTAATGACAGCATCGTTTCCATGCCGCTCGTGCCATTGCGATCCGAACGCACATACCTCTTTCCCCAGCGACTTTCCCCAGTTTATCCCCATGTTGAACGTGCTAAGACCGCGTGTTGAACCGGATGAGTAGCCGTAGCGATACTAGTATGGTCCAGGATGCGGCGAAGCGACCAAAACGCAAGTACCCATTCCACCAATATCGCAGCTTGGAAGCTTGCTAGCCCTGCTCGATGAAGTCGATGCCCGCATCTCGGTTGAGGCAAGCGGGGAAACATGTCCGATGTGCGCCATGACCGTTGCCCAGGCGGTGCAGAAGGGCGGCGATCAGTGGGGTTAGCGTGAGGGTTAATGCTTGGTCGTATAGTTGTGGATGCTTGCGGAAGCTTGGGTTGAGGCCTTTCCGCCCTGGATTGGGAAAGGCATCCGCGGTGTGATGACGACGGGCGTCGGGGAATTGGCTCGGAGGTATCTTTTTTAGAGGCGGGTAAATGTGCTGGGTTGTGGCATGGGGATGGGATTTGATGATGATGATGATGGAATGTGGGGAGAGTTGCCGAGGTACATCAATTCGGGCCTGACGTAACAAGGCCTTGATCATCGCGAAAAGCAATTGCTCGAATGCAGCGCGCGCACATAGAACATATGTAGGCTCAAAGATACTACCAATCCATTGCCACATATCCACAAACATGCTATACGATACGTGCATCTACATGTGCATCTACATGTGCATAAAGACCGATCGATCCGCCCACGACTCTCCCGTCGCATGCCAACCCAAAATCATCACATAACAAGTAACCCGCCTATGAAGAAACAAACTCCGCTACATAACATCCTGCCGCCCTTAGAGATCTAAATGGCACCCCGATGCAGCGAACCAAAGCAAGAACCGCAGCATGCGCCGAAGGTAGGAACAAAAGAATGTGGATGACAAGCAGCCAAATAGATATGCTAGAAAACACGAATGACAAAGGACATCCGTCGCGACGTTGCTCACGCGCCAAACGCTGCCTCGCGCTACACATCGCGGACAGCATAGACACCCTCCAACCCCACAGACCTACTGCGGCGGATACGAATACCCAGACTGATAATACCCCGAGTTGTCCGGAATAGTCGGAAAGCCATATTGTCCCCAATTATTAAAGTCTTGAGCACTATCACCGATCATGACATCCCCAGCCCAGCCATTGGGGAAAGTAGCAGCGCCGCAAATCTCCATGTTGACCTTTTGCTCCTGGATCTCCTGTGGACGTGCTTGTGGCCATGGTTGGTACACACCGTGTATCGGGACAGATGCGGGGGCTGACACAGGCGATTGGTGGGGGTCAGGCTGTTGGAAGGGACTTCTCAGGGAATGCTGAGTATTGGGATACTGGTATGCTGGGTAGGGTTGTTGTGGTGATGTCAGTGCCGTGGCGCGCATGTGAGAGTTTTGATCATAAGAAGGTGTACGGCCGCCGTGCGCGTAGGTTGATGGTTGGGTGACTGGAGGAGGAGCTGGAGGTGTTTGTTGACCATTGTGGTTGACGGCAGTGAAGCCGGACTGGTTACTGGACTTTTCCTCCGGCGCGCCTTGCATCTCATGCTTGACCGAAGCGGCGCTGGTAGGCAACGTGCGCTCTGCGGAGTCTTCGTCATGCGGCAGTCTCGTATCCGCGAGGTCCTTATCCCTGTCGGGCCATTGTCCGTCGTTGTCGTTAGCGTTAGCAATGTCACCGAACTGCTTGTGCGTCCTCTCGAAGAGCTGCGCGTAGTCTTTCAGCCCACCGCTAGCGACGCCATCGCTGGAGTTGCTCTTTGGAGAATCATCGATCTGGCCGCTTAGCTCTCGGTACTTCTTCCTCTCGCGGCGGTAATATCTTTGCCATTCTGCTAGTTGACTGAGCCACGAGCGGGCCATCTTGAAGCGACTCAGAATGCGTAGTAGGAAGCCGTTTGCGATATCATGGGCTCTAGGGTCTTTACGAGATGAGAGGGCGTCGTCCGGGTCCATGTGAGGAAAGTAGTGGCAGTAGATGGCTGGGGTGGTTAGCAATACCCAACCAAATCACTGTTAGATACTTACTGCCTATTCCAACGGCAAAACAAGAGAAAGCTACCGTTGGTGTTTGTACTAAATTGCTATGAACTTGTGAGTTCTCGATAGTATGAAGTAGTGTTGTGAAGTCGAGGCAGGCTTTCCAACAGTCTTTGGCTTGCTTGATCCAGTAGTCAGGGTCAGGGGGTTTCTCATCAATTAGTGGCTCATCCAACGGGCCGCGGGGATACGTCAACGTCCATGGTGATGTGGGCATGTACTCTCTGTACAACCACACAAAACACAATGTGTACATTGCATGTATCGCGACGTATTTGCCAGGCGAGTTGTAGCTACGGTCGTCGTTGTTGTCCGAGGTCAGCTGGAGGTGATCAGGAAGGTCGCGCTTCAGCTGCTTGAGTTTGTCCTCCAATTTCTTGAAGCCAGTCGTTGCGCACCACGGTGGATTCTTGCCTTCTTGTCTACACGTTGTCAGTCAGATATCGCGGCGGAACGAACGAGGCAAACGGACCTTCTGCCGCGTTTACACGACCATTGTGAGACTTCTCCGAAGATCACAACAACTTTGATGTACCATGTTAGTTCTGCCTCCCCCTCAGCAACTTCCCACCTCCCCCCATCCAGGCCACTGACTCGATCTGCTCCGTCGTGGTCATTACGGCGTTCCTCGGCATGTTTGTTCCATCGTTTCCTCCGCGCAGTATACATCGCATCGTCTTCACCCAGAAGCCTTGTTCTTGCTCTTTTTCCAAAATTGAATGCGCCATCGCTACAGACAAGTTGAGTTCTTTGAAGTTGATCGGGCGTAAGCATCCTCGGCCGATCCTCGCCCCAACTCAGATAGCAATCCATGAGGACGCAGCTCCAAAAGGTACGCCGCTGAGTCTCGCGAAGTATGAATTGGTCCTTTTCCGAAAGGCCCTTTTCACAGTCTTTCAGTGGTGCAGGTAGGCCGCTTTCATCGACATCCAGGTGCGGGTACCCAAGGCATATGGCAGCTCTGATAGCAATCCCGACCTTCATCCAGCCCTCAGTACCTTGCAAATTGGTCCATTCATAATACCCCAACATGAGGAGTGTTTGGATCTTTTCCACATTCGGGGACCCAATGATATCCGTTCCCATCTGCGTGCGAGTCGCCGATGCGTAGAATTCGGCAACCCTGATCGGGTCATTACCCATTTGCGCTACGAGCTTGTCATGGAAACGAGCAGTCTGGGTAAGGAAGGCTAAGAGCAAAGGCGCATACACGCGCGGCGTTGGAGCTTGAGTCGGAGTCTTAACTTCAGATGAGCTGCCAGATGAAGGCGGCGGCCGCACAGAGCTGAGGAAAGTTCGCTTATGCAAGAAGGGGAAGTCGGTAGAGAAATGCTTCTCATAGATGTCAAACAACTCTTCCCAGACCTGGGAAGTAAGCAATGGTGATTGAAGAGCATCTTCAGGCGAGCCCAAGCCTTCTACCGAGCGTTGCGCTGTAGTCGATGTTGGTGCTAGCAACTTGCGTCGCTTCTTGGGCGGGGCCTGGGGGTGTCAGCGCTAGCACGTGATATAGCCCAGGACGTGAACTCAGCCACGAACGTTGATATGCAATACGACTAAAGGAGTACTGGGAGACAAAAAAGGATGACTTACATCAAAATCGGCCGTGCTATCGCGGCGCACAGATCCTGTGCTGCTTGCGACAGCCGCGTGGTCCCAGGTACAGTCGCGGTTGGTATTCGCGCAGGCCTTGCACGTCGTGCCCTGACCGGTGTTTTCGCACTTGGTCTTGCTTCGGCGACATCTGGTGCATGCAATCTGCGAGCGCATGCCTCGTTTTGCTGAGGGCTCAGCACTGCCGCCGCTGGCATCAAGGGGCCCGGGGGTCTGCTGCGGAGACGCCTTGACGGTGGATGGAGACAGCTGGGTTAGGGGAGATTGCAGTTGCTGATGCTGTCCGGGAGGAGATGGCGGCCGTTGATGTCGTTGTTGTGGTGGGTAAGCAGGCAGTGCAGTTAGCCGCGGTGCATTCTCTCCGGTCATGGGAAGATGCGCGACGGCGCCCAGCTGAGGCGGTGCGCGAATATTGGCGATGAGTGCAGGGAGTTCTGAGAACGGGGGTTGATGAAGAATGGCGGTGCTGCGAGGCTGCGCGCGTCTTGTTGATCGAGTCTTTCGGGTGATGTTGCTGCGATGTGCGGGCCGGAGAGATGGAATGGTTGCCGGAAACGCCAGTCACGGGCTGGGGCCGAAGATTACCAGACGACGACAACAAGATGCAATGCAGGTCGGAGGTCTTGCGCAATCGTCGCGTATTCCAGGGCGGCAGGCAGCACAATTTGCGGTCGCCGGATCGTGTGGTTCCAGCGTTGGGTGCTGGCTGGCGTCTGCCTTCGATGCTGCGGGCACACGGGTATTAACGTTGGACCTTCCCTTCCGACGGGACGAGAGCAACTTGGCGTTGGTCCTTGCAGCGAGTGCTGCCATAGCATACCGTGGTATTTAAGCGATCGCTTCATCCGACAAACTTACCAGTCACCGCGATTTCTCTGCCGGTCTGCCGTCATGAGCTTATGCTTACCCTGACAGCCCACGGCCACACACCCCAGCGGCCCAGCTGTTGGCCGCCGCGCAGTCGCAGCAGCAACCTCCCACTTCACCAGCGGCCCGGTTAGCACCGCATCTCTATCTATCGCTAATCCCGCCTGGTCCGAGTCTCTCAAACGCCTCCCTCTCTGCTTGCCCCAGCACATGAGCTGTCGCACGCAGAACGGGCGCTGACACGTGGGTGGGCCTGCATGCAGTAGTAAGGTGTCGCGGAGCCTTATGGCGCACGTACAAATACGCCCAGTCGATTGCGTTTGGCTGTCAGCCAGGCGCTTCACCGTCACCTTACTCTAGTCCGTCAGAACCATGCCCATCGTCGCCAGCGCATGTCCCGCATGGTTGTATGCAAGGCTCCGAACGGTGCAACACCTTCACATGATGCGAGCCTCTCGTCTATCTTTTGCCCCATCCAGCTAACTACGCATATCGCTACCTATGATATCGCCAGGCCGTGTTGGCCGGTAGACGTAGCCTCGTTGTCTTACTTCCGCGGGTCTGAAAGCGGCATCAATCTCGATGGCTCGGCCTTAGCATTTGCCTCTGCCCGGCAAATCACCTCGATGCGCTCCAACGACTCTGCGTCTCAACGACGTTGTAGATGAAAGGCGCCAGGGGTTCTCGACTACCCATGGATACGCCGCACTCGTACGTCAGGCCAAATGGGACATTTCTCCCCTCGCCACGGTTAGCGAACTATGTCGCGCATGCGCATGCGACCAAGTTCAGCCTGACATTGATGAGTGAGATTTTCTGCAAGTGGCCCAATCTGGCTGCTGCACGATCGGTGTAGACCTTGCATCTTATCTGCCCTCGGGCATATTATGTCGCACCCGTTGCGTCTGTCGAAACTGTGGTACATGGAGTCTAAATCAAGTTTTGATCATTTTATCGCCTATGGCGGGAGGCGGCCAGGAGGTATTTAATGTACTTTGATTGGTCATGTAAACTTCACAAAGCTGCTTGTAGCCTCCAGCCTCTTGTGCCTAGTCCACCTCTGAATCCTGGAGCCTATGCGAGGCAACTACAGCCTATCTATCCCTCCTGATGAATCCTCCGTACGACGCGCTTGGACCACGTCCAATCGTCGCATTTGCCGTGGAAGGGCGATCTTGACGACGTAGACCCACGAACTTGGCCATCTTGTCTCGAGTCGCCTGGATAGCGGCGGTGACCTTGGACTGCGGTTTACCAGTCTCAACTCTGATGAGCTCTTGAGCAGGAGCTTCATCGACCTTGACCGCGGACTTCTTCATCTCGACCACTTTGGCCTCTGTCGAAGATGAGACGACAGGAGACGATGCGACGGTAGCCGACTTCTTGGTGAAAGAAGGCATCGTAAACCCAAAGGACGGGACGGCGACGTGTTTGCTGTGGTACTGTTGGAATATCATCCCCGCTGAGACAAGGTGAAAGCAACTTACGGCTCGTCCGGAGTTTTCGATACCGGTTTGGAAGACCAGCGGGAGCTGCCGAGGCCAGACATGTTGTTGATCTATCGCGTGTTAGTAATGCGCACCGACTACATTGACTCTCGATAGTGCGCATACATTGGTATAGTGGTGATGTATTCGAAAACCGATCCGATACGCGCTTCGTCTTGGTAATTGCGACGTCGTTGTAAGCAGTAAGAAGAAAGAAGAAAGTCAGATCGACAAGATTATATACACCGAGGACCTCCTAGTGTACTCGTCTTCACCTCGAAAGAGCGAGAAAACAAAGTGAAGGCACCCACGGTGACGCAGGAATTTACTGCGATATCAGAAATATTGACGCGGTGACGCAGGATCTTATAATTGCAAGGGATGACAGCGTTTGCTATTGATACACATGATACATCAATCCTCTCAGCGTGACAGCCCGCACCTACCACTTCTCAACCGCCGGCCTAAGATCAATCTCCCACGTGAAGTTCGTCTTAGGCTGAGTGTGCAGCCACCAATAGTCGTTCGCAATCTACATGCGCCGTTAGCAAAAGACGCTGCGAAATAAAGACAAAGATACTCACAGCATCAGCGCTCAGCTTCGCCTCCTTAGGCATATCCTTCAACCACTCCTTCGTCCTCGGAATATCAATAACCCCATCAATAATTGCATGAGCGACGTGAACCTGCACATTAACATTGCATTAGCAAACCATTTCCCCAGGTACAACCCAAAGAAAAAAGACTGAATACTCACACCCTGCGGTCCAAACTCCTTCGCCAAACTCTGACTCAACGCCCTCAACGCCCACTTCCCCGTCGAGAAACTCGCCATCTGCGCATTACTCTTCACACTCGCCGTCGCCCCCGTAAAAATCAAACTAGGCGGATGTTCACTCCCCCTCTCCACCCCCTTCAACAACAACGGCAAGACCATCTGCGAAAACAACACACCCCCCATCCCACTAACCCCCAACCCCTTCTCAAACGTCTCCACCGGAATCTCCAAAAACGGCTTCCGCATAAACGCGCCGGAAGCATTGAAAATCGCTGCTGCGGCTGCGACATCATCCCCAAACTCACTCTTTATCTTGGAGAGGGCGGAAGACAGGCTGGAAGAAGAGGATACATCCGTGGCGATGCCGAGGGCGCGGCCGCCGGCGGCGTTTATTTCAGAGGCGAGAGAAGAGAAGGATTCGGGGGTGCGGGCGAGGAGCACGACGGGGTAGGTTTGGCTGAATTTGCGGGCGACGGAGGCGCCGGTTCCGGGGCCGACGCCGGCGATTATGGTGATGAGGGGGGATTTTGATGCCATTGCTGTGTATATTGGGTGTTGGTGTTTGGAGCCTGGGTTGAGATGGGGATGTTGGGTGGATGTGAAGGGGATTGGTAGGCGAGGAGGATTGGTGTAATAACAATGACGAACCGGGCGATTCGACTTATATCTTGCTACAATCCTCGGTACCTTGGTTTGCTGTTTAGTAAACCTCCTTGAGATTGGAAATGGGGATGTTGTAAGGCTGATTGCATAACATGCGGAGATAGCTAGAGCGCGAGGTGCGTCATGATTAATAAGCCACCCCTCTCTCACATGTCCCCCATTCATACACTATACACATGCATACTCACTTGCGGCACCCAAAGGCAAGTCTGATTTAACGTAACTTCGTTGATGCATTACTTTGATCTATGCGACTCATGTCTTCATCACAAATCCCATGGCAACATCCGTCTACGCCCTCCCCGCCCTACCCACCTGAATCATCTCCCCAGTAGGTTTATCGTCGCTCCTGAGGACCGGCCAGCTAGCTCCATCCGCCTTGACCAGCGTCATCTCGAGCTTGGTGCCTAGTATCCTGAACTTGCTCTCTTCCGGCTTGATGGTCGAGAAGAGGGGGAATTCGGTTTGGTAGCGCTTGCTGTCTGAGGTGGGGAGATCGAGCTTTACGTGTGTGGGTTGGAAGTCGACGACGGCGGTTGCCTTGTCGATTTTCTTGAGGTAGAGGGATGCGACGACCGAGGTGGCGGTTTGGTAGTAGTCGTGCCTGGGGGTGGGGTTAGTAGATGGTCTTGTACGGTCTTAATGGGAGACGTACCGAACAGTCTCTAGTTTCTCCTCGCCCTCCTTCTTCTTGCCGCTGCCGATGAACAAATGTCGGTCTTTTGTCTTGCAGCCCTCAATCTTCATGAACTGGTCAAACTCCATCACCCGCCTCTTACAGCAACTCCACCCCTTGCTGCCCTCGTGGAAGATGGGCGCACCGGGGTGGTGTATGCAGCTCTCTCCTTCCCTATCGCCTCCCTTGTGTGTCGCGCCGCATCCTTTCCGCCGACATGTCATGCCCTCCCTGATCTCCAGACTCGGGTCGTCGTCCTCGGATTCTGGCGGCGGCGCCGGTGAAGCGCTCGGCTTGGGCGTGGCTTGTGCGGTAGGTAATCGGGGCGCGGGCGCAGGGAGGGATTCCTCGAGCGATCCGAGGTTGACTTGGATATCATTAGATACGTCAAGGGCTTTGACGGGCTCGGGCTTGGGTGTGTCGTCGACGTCCGAGTGCTTGCCCTTTGTGCACGGCTCGATTGCGAGGAACTCGTCAAAGGTCAAGACGCGTGGTTTGCAGCATTCCCAGCCTGGGGAATCGCATTAGCACCTTTTCTGGTCTTGTCGATATACGCGTTGGTGGTGCTGACCTACCTTTCTGCCCCTCATGGAATTTGGGTGGGCCGGGATGGTAAACACACTCCTCGTTCTCGTCCTCGTACGTCTTGCCGCAGCCTTTGTGAACACACTTCTTCGCCATCTTTGTCGTTTTCTGTGAATAACGCGCTTAACGAGTGGAGAGAAAGGTCGGATGCGCGCTGCTTGTCGTGTTGCGATGCCCCAGATTTTGTTCCGAACATTCTGGAAATCAGCCGTCATCATAGGGTCCAAGCGCGAAGCTTAATCGATATCCTGGCCGTTGAAGCTTTCCATCTTCGGAATTCCTGTCGCGTCAGCCCAAAGCTCTCCGTTCGTATTGCACGCTCGTAGGCATCGGTACTGAGAGAGTGTGTGGGTTGTCAACACGTCGCCAACATGTTCCGCGCCACATCCCGCCTGCTCGCTTGCCGCGTCACCTTCTTCACCCGAACCCCATGCGGCCTATGCGACACGGCTAAAGCTGTCGTGCAGAGTGTCAGAGCAAAGCGACCATTTGATTACGACGAGATCAATGTCATGGATGCAGGGCAAGAAAAGTGGAAGAGCGCGTATGAGTTCGATACTCCGGTGGTAAGCCGACCCGGACCATGGGTCTATATATGCGTGTAATGCACGGAGTACCTGAATGTTCAACTAGATCCACATCGATAAAGCCGAAGCTAAAGAGACGACCATATCGTCACTGAAGCTTATGCATCGGTTCAAGGAAGAAGACGTGACCAAGGCCATGGATCAGGTAGAGCAATCTTGAAAGCATCGTCATGTCGTCTGCCCAGGTCGGATCTCATTTTACGTCTACGTTACGAATCAATCGAGCTGCTGCTGTAAGATCTCTCGTGGGATAAAGCAGAGTAGTGTTTTGCACGATCCATGGTCCTTCCCACACTTTCCACCTTCGTCCTGTCCATGTCCCGCTTACCGAACGTCATCATCGATGCATCCACTTCTAGCTGCGCGAATCCGTGGTTGTAGATACAGTGAGTATGTCGGCCAGCGTAGTCTTTGGATTGCGGTAGACGTCGGCCTCAAGGAAGTCCCTTGCAATTTGCTCCTACCGCAGAGTCAGCCAACATTACGACCTGCCTAGCTTCACATACCGCTTCTTCAAGCTCTGCGGCTTCGTCCTCCGGCATCTGACAGCACGCAGCTACGAGGTCTTCGCCGCGAACAGAGAGGAGGATGAGGTTCTCCGCACGTTGTATAATCTCTGGAGGAACGCCGTTCATGGCGGCACAGCTATCGTCTTGTCAATAAAAATGGGATACGCCAAAGCTATCGACTTACCATGTGCCAAAGCTTGAGGTACTTCGACCTTCGCGGAAGCTAGGCGCTGTTAGTATGCCCTGCGTCTTGCTATCATAGTATACTTACTTATAGAGATACGTTATCTGATCATTGACTTCCGACGCTTTGGCATCGATGCGCACTTCCATGTGCCCGAACGCAAGAGCGGGCCTCGGCTTAAGCAGGTTCATCTCAAAGATTTCTGGTGGTATTAGCAGCTAGTTCATGCATATATGAAGCTCACATACCATGGAAATGCGTAGCGCCAATGACTTTTGGTCGCTCCGAGCCCAAACTCAACAGATATTCCATGACTGCGCATGCCAGACCAGCGCCATCGCTAGACTCAGTTCCTTTGCCGAACTCATCGATGATGAGTAAGCTACGGCGCGTCGCCAAGCTCAGTGCGAGGGATACCTGCTGCAGATCTATCATGAAAGCGCTCTGGACACGAGACACCGTCTCGCGCGTCGTGACTCTCGAAAGAATCTTGTCCGTCAGACCAATCTTTGCGCTATCTGCCGGTACAAAGCATCCGACATGGGCCATGTATACGATGAGCGCGACCTGCTTCAGGTACACACTTTTGCCTGAATAGTTGGGCCCGGTCAATACCAGCATGCTTGCGCTATCTTTATGCGCGTAGGTATGGCGACTTGCAGAGCTCGTAATCGGGTGGGTACCATTACCATAGCTATCATCGGCGTCTTCCTCAGAAGCTTCATCGCCCTCCCCGCCTCTTAGCGTCGTATCGTTCGCGACGAAGGATGATACTGTGAGCTCTTGTAGGATATGGCTGGACGGAAGTCAGTGGCTGCATGCCGCCTCCGCGATTAGTAGACTCACCGGCCTCCCTTGATACGTATGACATTGTCGTTGGTCATCCGAGGGCGACAAAGCTTGTAAATTTTCGCACCTTGTGCTAACGCCAGAAGGCTATCAAGCTCTCCGCATACGTCCGAACAAGATGTCAGCAGCTCTTCATATTGCAGCAGATACTGGGCGAGCTCATGGCTGATCTCAATCTCGCGATCCGAGATGATGCCGTACACGTCCCCGAAGTGATCATCCATCTCTCGGGTTTCGCTGTTCTTGAAGTAAACCTGCTCTTCAGTGGCAAACATTCTCTCCCAGGGACTGTCGAAGGTGCCTTCATAGACGGCATCGCCGCTCAGTTCATTGACTGGAGTGGTGCAGAGAAATCCGATTTGTGGGAAGTAGATGACATTGAGAGTGGCGCCTAATCTTGTCAGCTTTTGATTCGATGTGACACCAATGTAGCAGAAACTGGGATAGATAGGAACAGTGCGACGTACGGATGTCAGAGGGCATCTTCTCAGACAGTTTCCGCGCTACACGGTTGAGGAAGTCGTCAAGACTGTCCAGAGTCCTTTTCATCTGGTCCAGCTCGTCGTCAACGCCGGGCATGATGACAGTTCGACCTTCTTCTGCAGAACTAGCCAAGTCAATGGTCTCACTGATCTTCCTTCCGATCTGGGCCAGGTGATAACCTTCAAACTTCTCGAACACCTGCAAATGTCAGTCGCAATATCAGGAACCGCAGCAGGCTATTTGTGTGGCCTCGCGGTGATTGACAGGCTGGCGGTTAGCAGTACCTTATTCCTGATAGACAAGGTCTCGCCGCCTAGAACATCCTGTAATGTGTCTTTGATCTTGAGCGCATGGAATGCAAACTATCACAATCAGCCTGATGACGTACGATGGAGGGTTTGCGCGACGTACCGCTCTGATAGATGTCCATATGCTCTTGGAGAAGCCTCCGCCTGCTTTTGTTGAGCCGCCCACACCCTTTCTCAGGTTGACCATTATGGCACGCATGTTGCTGATGTTCTTCAAATTCTGCACGAGTGCTTGTAGAGCGGGATCGTTATCTGGACGAACGAAAACCCCTATCGTGCTTAGCCTCTCGTTGATGATATCGATGTTGAGACTAGGGCGCAGGAACTGTTGCCGAAGCAGGAACCTTCCTTGTGGTGTTCGCGCGAGATGGTGGAAGAGCCCATACACGGAGAGCCCTTCCTTCTCGCCAGAGCTGGCTTTGGTCGGCCCTTTGTTGTGCGAGTGCGGATGCGATTCGGCACCCATGATCTGTAACGAGTGAAGCGTATCCGCGTTGATGAACATAGTCTCTCGAAGACTGAACATTTCCAGCGTTGTGATACGGAACATGAGATAAGCTGAGCGATCGCCAGGAAGATATGCTGCAGCGCGTCGACGTTGAATATACGATATAAGTGCTCCAGCGCAGCCGACCTGTGCAGTATTAGCGACGCATCTTCCATGGGAAGCGCGAGAATACCGTCGAGCGGCTG